TTCCCCTTTCCAATATTATAAAGATAGTCTCCTAGCCAGGCATGGTGGCTCATGCTTATAATCCCAGCACTTTGGGAGGCAGAGGTGGGCGGATCACAAGGTCAAGAGATCGAGACCACCCTGGCCAACATGGTGAAACCCCATTTCTACTAAAAATACAAAAATTAGACGGGTGTGGTGGCGCGTGCCTGTAATCCCAGCTACTCAGGAGACTGAGGCAGGAGAATCGCTTGAACTTGAGAGATGGAGATTGCAGTGAGCCAAGATTGCACCACTGCACTCCACCCTGGTGACAGAGCAAGACTCTGTCTCAAAAGAAAAAAAAGATAGTCTCCTGTATTTCTTTTTAGTAGTTTTGCTTTATGCATTTAGGTCATTAATCCACCTGAAATTGATTTTTGTATATGGCATAAAGCAGGATCTTATTTTCTTTTTGCCATTTGGATTACCAATTGTCTCAGTACACTTTCCTGAATGGGTCATTCTTTCCTCATTAATTTGTAAGATCACCTCTTGCCATACCATAATTTTTCATATATGAATAGGTCTGCTAATAAACTATTATTCCACTGCTCTGTGTTCATCCCTCTCATCTAAGGCTTAATATTGCAATCATCATAATCACTCAATTGAACTGCACACTAGAATCTGGAGAGCACTTTCAAATCCACTTTCCAATTCAGACCTCAAAATGGTCCTATGAGTTAGGTACTACTATTCATATCTGTCTGGATGAAGAGCCTGAGGTTCACAAAGGTTAAGGGAATCATGGTCACCAGAGAGTTAAATCTAAGAACACGGAACCAATCTCATGTGTTCAGTTAGCACTCATTCCACCAGACTCCGTTAGGTAAGGACAGAAACAGTATCTTTTAAACAGCTTTCAAATACAGCTACGCACTCTGTTTACAACACCCAAAACAAACATGCCCCTTGTAAATAAACCAGTGCTTTAACAACTACGTTTATTGGGACAAACATGTTCATTATACTCATTTGAAAGTAAATTCTATTTTTTTTTTTTTTTTTTTTTTTTGAGACGGAGTTTCGCTCTTGTTACCCAGGCTGGAGTGCAATGGCGCGATCTCGGCTCACTGCAACCTCCGCCTCCTGGGTTCAGGCAATTCTCCTGCCTCAGCCTCCTGAGTAGCTGGGATTACAGGCACACGCCACCATGCCCAGCTAATTTTTTGTATTTTTAGTAGAGACGGGGTTTCACCAAATTGACCAGGATGGTCTCGATCTCTCGACCTTGTGATCCACCCGCCTCGGCCTCCCAAAGTGCTGGGATTACAAGCTTGAGCCACCGCGCCCGGCCAGTAAATTCTATTTTAAAAGTAACCCTGCCTTAGCTGGCCTCTATGCTGCTCAGGCATAGGCAAGGCCACCACCATTTCTCCTCACATCAGCCATGTTCTCTCATAGTCACTAGCCCTGCAGCTCCAAAGACAGAATAGAGATGTGACAACTGGACAGTTCCCTGTGTCAGGAAGGAGGAAAACAGAGCCAGTGCCTCCAAACTGGAACTTAACACTTTAAAACTCACACATTAGTTGTGGGACATGCTACAGAAAGCAGGGAGTGTTAAAATGCTGTCCAAGAACCCCACACCTAGCTTAATGACAGACAAGAGTAGGTACTCCATAAATGATTTTTACTGAATAAATAAATGAAGTCCTTCATCGAGAGCCAGAACCACTGGTTTCTTTTTCTTTTTCTTTTTTAAATAACAAATCTGCACATGTATAACCACTGGTTTCAACAGGCCCTGCATAGACCAATCAGCTAAAATGAAAAAAGAAAAAAAAAAAAAAAAAAAAAGAAAGCAGCCACTGACATTCAGAAGCAAGCACAGCCCTCATAGCCAGGCCATGTTATTCTCCTATGGGACCTAAACAATCTTACAAAATACCAACCTCAGACAAGGTTACTCTGAAATCCTCATAAAATGAGACAAAGGCCATTTCAGTTTTGTTTTAAGCAGACAAACACATAGTGACTATGCCATCCACGAAATACCAAACACCCTTTGGCCAAATTGAGTGACTGCTACTCCTCTGGCAATTATAGGTTTGTTCTTCAACTAGTCTCCCTTCCATACAGATAAGATTTATTCAGATACTCAAACACAAAACTCCGGTATTTTCTTACAGGATCTTATCTGAAGTGAAACCCGACCTCCTTAACCCTCCCCTCCCCTAATCACCAACACCCAAATCCTATAATCAGTTCTAACACTCTCCTAATGAAACACCCCAGGGTTCCTCATGGACTGTGCTCTCTCTTGATGCAATGAGCAATAAACCCAACTTGTTTTACTACAGGTGTGTTCCTAGTGGTCTGTGGGCATTGACATGCCTTGAGTCAGAGATTACAAGTGTCTAAAAGTGTATGCCTTTATCTTTCCGGAATGTTCTCCCAGTTTTAGTTTGACAAAAATAATTCTCATTTCTGAAAGTCACCTCTATCTAAATGAAAGAAAGGTAACAAATTCGTTTAACACCAGGTACCTGGTTCAACATCCAACTCCAATTCTACCAATAAACATACTCTTAAACAAAACTTTTTGTGTATATGATATGCCTCCTCCTAGATAGCATGCCCTTGAAAAGCTGAGTCTGACTCATCTTTGTACATCTGTACTACCTGACATGTATTAGAGGATTTCTTTCATGAATGTTAGTAACATGTTACTTTTTTTTTTTGAAATGGAGTTTCGCTCTTGTTACCCAGGCTGGAGTGCAATGGCGCGATCTCGGCTCACTGCAACCTCCGCCTCCTAGGTTCAGGCAATTCTCCTGCCTCAGTCTCCTGAGTAGCTGGAATTACAGGCACGCACCACCATGCCCAGCTAATTTTTTGTATTTTTTCAGTAGAGACGGGGTTTCACCATGTTGACCAGGATGGTCTCGATCTCTTGACCTCGTGATCCACCCGCCTCGGCCTCCCAAAGTGCTGGGATTACAGGCTTGAGCCACCGTGCCCAGCCCCACATGTTACTTTTAAACTAATAATATTGAAATATGGGTGCCTCTAAACTACATGTGTGAAACCCCAGAACAAAAACAAAAAAAAACAAGGGTGAAAAAATGATTTATTTTTCCCCAAAATTTTTTAGATGGTTCCTTTTTTTTTTTTTAAGATGGACTCTTGCTCTGTCGCCCAGTCTGGAGTGCAACGGTTCAATCTCGGCTCACTGAAATCTCTGCCTCACAGGTTCAAGGGATTCTCCTGCCTCAGCCTCCTGACTAGCTGGAATTACAAGCATGCACTGCCATGCCCAGCTAATTTCTGTATTTTTAGTAAAGACGGGGTTTCTCCATGTTGGTCAGGCTGGTCTCGAACTCCCGACCTCAGATGATCCTCCTTTCTTGGCCTTCCAAGGTGCTGGGATTACAGGTGTGAGCCACCACTCCTGACCTGTTCTGTACTTTTTTATTGACTACTGGCAGAACCCTCTCTAGATGGGGACTTTGTTCCCCATCTACAAAACATTTTGTTTGTTTTTTCCTATTCTGTTAAAGCACCCCGGAGCAGGAAAAGGAAACAGCACAGAACATTCATTCATACTCTGACCCCAAATTATAATCTCAGTCTGGATGAACACCTTAAACGGCACACCATGCAATGTCACAGCCTATTTAAAGGCATTCTGGTCACTACTGTCTTCATCTTTCAACAGGAAACGGTTTATATTCCAGAAGCAAAGATTATATTAAATTCACCAAATTCATGTCGACACTCAGAAAGCACCTTTGACTGCTTCAGAAGCAGAGGAAGTTAAAAGGAGTGAAAAAGTTACGAAGTGCCACCGATGTCAAGGGGAAGTTTCCAATAAGGATGACTGTAGAAAGAACCTTCCAGAGGCTGGGCGCGGGGGCTCATACCTGTAATCCCAGAATTTTGGGAGGCTGAGGCGCGTGGATCACCTGAGGTCAGGTCGAATCCAGCCCGGCCAAAATGGTGAAACCTGTTTCTACTAAAAATACAAAAATTAGCTGGGTGTGGTGCTTTGCGCCTGTAATCCCAGCTACTCAGGAAGCTGAGGCAGAAGAATCGCTTGAACCCAGAAGAAGGTGGTTGCAGTGAGTTGAGATTACCCCATTGCAGTCCTGCCTGGGCGACAAGAGCAAAAGTCCACCTCAAAAAAAAAAAAGAAAAGAAAAGAAAAAAAGAACATTCCAGACTTAAAACCAGTTTCTCAAAGACCAGAATCTTTAGTTTGGACAGAGACATCAGGATTCACAGGTCCTGGAGTCTCCACTACTAGTGGCCTCCAGCTTCCTTACATAGAGGGTCAAGGAGCTCAAATTATAAATGCTTCACGTAACTCAAGAAATTTTTAAGTTCTCCGTGCAACTCAGCAAACCTGAGCTCACAGCCTTCAGAACAGAGGGGGAAATCACTTCCTCGAGCTCTAGTGAATTTTAAAATCAAAAGTAATGAGAATAATTTCCACCACCGAGCGCTCGTGAGGTGGGTGTGGCCCCCACCCCCTCGCCCCTCCCCCACCCCCCGCAGCGCCCGGCCTCGGGAACGTCCGCGGGGCCCAGCTGGACCTCTCCGGCCAGTAGCAGACGTCCGGCCACGGTCCGGCAGACCGCTGTCACAACTGCACCCGTGACCCAACGAGCTCATCCCACATCTCGAAGGGCCTCAGCCAACTCGAACCCCGACGGCCAGGCAACCAGGGCCGGGCTTGGGCTCCACGAAGGCCGCAGACCGCGAACAAAGAAGAGGCCGGGAGTAGCCCGAGAGGCCCGGGCCGAGCTCTCTGAGCATCCGAAGGTACCTGCAGCCCTCGCGGGGTTGTGCTCCCCGCCCGGGATCTGCGGGTGAGCCTCGACAAGCGCCAGCACGCCGTGAACGCACCGCGTCGCGGATCTTGATGGCGCACTGCAGGCTCTCCGGCGCGCACACGGACAAAGGGGGCAGGGGTCCTGGCGGGTACCCGGAGCCGCCATCCCGCGCGCTTCCCGCCGCCCGGACCCGGCTTTTACCTGTACGTCACTCAGCTCCACGCGCAGATACAGCTCGCGGTGTCGCTGAGCCCAGTAGACATGCGGCGTCAACACCTGATTCTCCATGGCCACACTGCCCAGGGCGCGGGGCGGCTCGGCTTGCTCGGCTTGCTGCGCCACGGTGCCTCAGGTATGCTCGGCGGGCCCGAGCCGAAAGCAGGCCTCAAACCCCCGCGCTCCTGAGAGCCCGCAGCCCGGCGCCTCAAGACACCCGAAGCTCGCGGGCCGCACCTGCGCAGTGACGCGCCGGGATGGCGGCGGCGCCAGCCGGGGGCCTTGGCGCGAGGCGGGCGGGGGCGGGAAAGGGGCGGGCCCTGGCACTGTGTGACGCCGCAGCTCACCCCGGCCGCCAGGGGAATTGGAATCAGCGGGTGGTCAGCTCTCCCCACTCGTTTTCAGGGAGATGCTTTAAAATGGAAGAGGCTGGAGACCTTACAGAGGACCGATCAGCATGGGGAAGGGTTTGAGACTGGGGTTTCTGGAAGGTCCTTCCCATTCTGTGTACTGAGCGCCTACTGTGTGCGTGGGTTTCAAAGCTAAATACTGGAACAACAGAAGTGAGACACACCGTTCCTTCTGTCTTAGAACTCCCAGTCTATTAAGAGATGCAAGTAATTACAGACAAAATGACGATAATAATGGTGATAGGGGACACAGTGTATTACTGGCGTGGAAGAGTGTTCCAAGAAGGGAAAATAAAGACCAAAGCAGCGCTGCCCAATGAAACTTGGTGATGATGGAAATATTGCACACTGCGCTCTTGGTGATGATGGAAATGTTGCACATTGCGCTCTTTAATACGGTAGCCACTAGCCACATGAGGCTTTTGAGTACTTGAAATGTGGTTAGTGAGACTGAATAACTGAATTTTCAATTTAATTCACTTATCATTTAAATTTAAATAGTCATATTATTGGTGGCTATTCTATTGGACAGTGCAAGAGACTGTCTCAAAAAAATAGGACTCTCAAACTAGAGACAACACTCATTTATGTCTTACTTAAACTGGCTTGTCTGTATCCGCTTTCATCCTCAAGTTCTTCTACGGCGAAGAATTTAGTGGAAAGCAATGTTTGTATGAAAACTAGAACTCTGGGCCAAAAATGGAACTCATATTCAATCCTGTTAGCTTCCATTTATTTAGCAAAGTGTTTCTCTTAGCACCCATTTGTTTAGCAGAGGGATCTAACAATGGACAGAAAGTCTGCTAGCTCTCCAGAACCATTTGGCTCAAGAGTGGACAATATATATAAATTATAGAGAGTTTTCATATAATGAATGTGCTGAGCTCACAGTTTATGACGATGGGAACTGAGGGCCCCCTGGGAACCATCGTCAGACATTTGAGAGGCAATCCTTGAGAACGGGATGGTGAATTGTGAGTAGGAATTTGACCGAGGAAGAAGCGGGTACGCCGTGGAAGCACAGGACGCTTGCTTCGTTCAAGGGTGAAAAGATGTGGGCCGGGCGCGGTGGCTCACACGTGTAATCCCAGCACTTTGGGAGGACGAGGCAGGAGGATAGTTGGAGCCCAGGAGTTCGAGACCAGCCTGGGCAAAATGGCAATGCCCCATCTCTACAAAAAATACAAAAGTTAGCAGAGCGTGGTTGGCGCGCCGCTATGGTCCCCGCTACTCCGGAGGCAGAGGTGGAAGGATTGCTTGAGCCCAGGAGGCGAGATGCCACTGCACTCCAGCTTGGGCAGAGTGAGGCCCTGTCTTACAACTGAAAAGAGAGAGAGAGGGATGTAGGAGGCCCTGCTGCTAGGGATTAAAGGCATAGAGTATGAGAAAGGACGCCCTGGTGCATTAGCAAAGTCATTGTTTGCATTACTGAGGTGCCTGTACTGCAACCCACAGTCACGTGGGAGCCAAGGAAGTCTGTTAACATGGAGATTAAAATCAAATGTGCTCAGCAACAAAGACCTGTCAGAGAGTAGGAGGAGCAGGTAGTAGGCAAACCAGCTGGACCAATGCAATCTGCCAAGTATGAGATGATCAAAGCAGTAACCTTGACAGTCTTGAATTTTAAAAATAAAATGTTTTTCAAAAATAAAATATTTTTTAATGATGAAGATATTTTATTGCATTGTGTTTAGTACAATGCAGATTCAATATGGGGCACTTTTTTAAAAAATTGAGCCAGGCACGGTGGCTCATGCCTGTAATCCTAGCACTTTGGGAGGCTGAGGTGGGTGGATCACCTGAGGTCAGGAGTTCAAGACCAGCCTAGCCATCATAGTGAAACCCCATTAAAAAAAAAAAAAATCGAAATGTAGTTTACATACGGAACATAGGAAAATCTAAAATGTTCAGTTTCAGCTGAATTTTTACATATGTTTATATTCATGTAACTATCACCTAGATTAAGATCTGGAATATTTCCAGTATCCCAGAGGTTATTTCATATTAAAATATATTTGTCTCTCAATAATTACTATCCTGATATATCACCACAGAGTAGTTTTTGTCTGTTCTGTTCTTGAATTTCATATAAATGGAATCTACAGTGTCTGGTTTCTTTCATCAACATAATGTGTATGAGATTTATCCATGTTGCTGAGTAAATCAGTAATTCATTCTCTTTTTTTTTTTTTTTTTTTTTTTTTTTGAGACGGAGTTTTTGCTCTTGTTACCCAGGCTGGAGTGCAATGGCACGATCTCGGCTCACCGCAACCTCTGCCTCCTGGGTTCAGGCAATTCTCCTGCCTCAGCCTCCTGAGTAGCTGGGATTACAGGCACGCACCACCACGCCCAGCTAGTTTTTTGTGTTTTTAGTAGAGACGGGGTTTCACCATGTTGACCAGGATGGTCTCGATCTCTCCACCTCGTGATCCACCCGCCTCGGCCTCCCAAAGTGCTGGGATTACAGGCTTGAGCCACCGCGCCTGGCAGTAATTCATTCTCGTTTAGTTTTTGGTTTTGCTCTGTAGTAGTTTACTGTATGAATATACCACAAATTATTTATCCATTCTCCTATTGATGGATATTTGTGTTGTTTCTGGTTTTTTTGTTTGCTGTTTTTGTTTTTGAGATAGAGTTTCCCTTTTGTTGCCCAGGTTGGAATGCAATGGCACAATCTTACTGCAACCTCCACTTTTTGGGTTCAAGCACTTCTCCTGCCTCACGCTTCCAAGTTGCTGGGATTACAGGCATGTGCCAACACCCCCGGCGGCTATTTTTGTATTTTTAGTAGGGCATGGGTTTTTCCATGTTGGTCAGGCTGGTCTTGATCTGCCTGCCTCAGGCTCCCAACGTGCTGGGATTACAGGCGTGAGCCACTGTGCCCAGTCTGTTTCTAGTTTTTAGTTATTATAGATAAAGCTACTCTGAATATTTGGTCTTTCAGGGATATATGCTCTTAATTCTCTTGAAATAAATACCTATGAAGAGAATTGCCGTGTTACATAGATGTATGATTAGCTTTAGTAGGTACTGCTAAGCAATTTTACAAAGTGTTTTCATCAATTTACATTCCCACAACAATGTCTGAACACTCTAGTTGCTTTATATCCTTGGTATTTTCAGTCTTTGAAATTTAATTTTATGTATGTATTTACTTATTTTAGAGACAGAGTCTTGCTCTGTTGTCCTGGCTGGAGTGCGTTGGCGAAAAGTTGGCTCATTACAACCTCTGCCTCCCTCGTTCAAGTGATTCTCCTGCCTCAGCCTCCCAAGTAGCTGCGATTACAGGCGTGTGCCAACAGGCCTGGCTAATTTGTGTATTTTTTGTAGAGATGGGTTTTCGCAGTGTTGGTCAGGCTGGTCTCAAACTCCTAGGCTCAAGTGGTCTCAAACTCCTGACCTCAGGTGATCTACCCTCCTCAGCCTCACAAAGTGCTAGGATTACAGGCACGAGCCACTGTGCCTGGCCAATTTTTGTACTTTTTGTTGAGATAGGGTCTCACTACTTTTCTCAGGCTGGTCTCGAACTCATGGGTTCAAGCAATCATTCTGCCTCAGTCTCCCAAAGTGCTGGAACCACAGGAATGAGCCACTGTGCCTGGCTTCTTTTTTTGTTATTACAGGTTGGTTTGAACTACACCCTAAAAAGGGGGAAAGTATCAGGGGGAAGTGGAAAAACAAACCGTAGACCACCATATCCTCTAATCAATGGCTGTTAGTATATGTACTACATGCTTATGATTCTTTTCCTCACCTAGATTATAAACCTCCCTGGAGCACAGATCAGCTCCTTTTGGTATCCTGTAGTATCTAACACAATGTGCTTCAGAAAGTAGATGTTTAAAACATATTTGTTGATGATGATACCCAGTGCTAGATACCGATGGTTTTGCATTAACCCGGCCATGCTATCTCATTCACACCTCATGTGCTAGATAGCTTGTCTTTTCCTAATGGGTTCCTAGAGTGCAGGGCAGCAGAAAACCAGGTGGGGTTTGTCAAGCACACAAACGACTTAGCAAGACCACGGCCTCACTGATTCAGCCAGTAAAGATACAGTGACACTTTTAGATTCAGGTAGTTTATTACTTACATACAGTGCAAAAGGAAGAATGCACAAAGGTGATAGCTGCTTGTGATCCTTGTCTCATACATCAAAAATGACAATACAGTTGACTTTGTATCTGTGGGTTCCGCATCTGGGATTCAATCTACCTCGAGTCAAAAGTATTTAGAAAAAAACTGAAATAAAAAATAATAATAGGCCGGGTGCGGTGGCTCACACCTATCATCCCAGCACTTTGGGAGGCCGAGGCGGGCAGATCACGAGGTCAAGAAATCAAGACCAGGCCGGGCGCGGTGGCTCAAGCCTGTAATCCCAGCACTTTGGGAGGCCGAGTCGGGTGGATCACGAGGTCGAGAGATCGAGACCATCCTGGTCAACATGGTGAAACCCCGTCTCTACTAAAAATACAAAAAATTAGCTGAGCATGGTGGCATGTGCCTGTAATCCCAGCTACTCAGGAGGCTGAGGCAGGAGAATTGCCTGAACCCAGGAGGCGGAGGTTGCGGTGAGCCGAGATCGCGCCATTGCACTCCAGCCTGGGTAACGAGAGCAAAACTCTGTCTCAAAAAAAAAAAAAAAAAAAAGAAATCAAGACCATCCTGGCCAACTTGGTGAAACCCCATCTCTACTAAAAAAATACAAAAATTAGCTGGGCATGGTGGCACGCACCTGTAGTCCCAGCTACTCGGGAGGCTGAGGCGGGAGAATTGCTTGAACCCAGGAGACGGAGGTTGCCGTGAGCCGAGATTGTGCCAGTGCACTCCAGCCTGGCACCTGGTGACAGAGTAACACTGTCTCAAAAAATAATAATAATAAATAATAATACAGGCCTGGTGCAGTGGTTTATGCCTGTAATCCCAGTGCTTTGGGAGGCCAAGGCAGGAGGATTGCTTGAGCCCAGGAGTTCAAGGCTACAATGAGCTATGATTGCCCTATTGCACTCCAGCCTGGTGACAGAGCGAGACTCCATCTCAAAAAAAAAAAAAAAAAAAAAAAAAAGCTGGGCGCGGTGGCTCAAGCCTGTAATCCCCGCACTTTGGGAGGCCGAGGCGGGTGGATCACGAGGTCAAGAGATCGAGACCAGGCCGGGCGCGGTGGCTCAAGCCTGTAATCCCAGCACTTTGGGAGGCCGAGGCGGGTGGATCACAAGGTCGAGAGATCAAGACCATCCCGGTCAACATGGTGAAACCCCGTCTCTACTAAAAATACAAAAAGTTAGCTGGGCATGGTGGTGCGTGCCTGTAATCCCAGCTACTCAGGAGGCTGAGGCAGGAGAATTGCTTGAACCCAGGAGGCGGAGGTTGCGGTGAGCCGAGATTGCGCCATTGCACTCCAGCCTGGGTAACAAGAGCGAAACTCCGTCTCAAAAAAAAAAAAACAGAGATCGAGACCATCCTGGTCAACATGGTGAAACCCCGTCTCTACTAAAGGTGCAAAAAATTAGCTGGGCATGGTGGCACGTGCCTGTAATCCCAGCTACTCCGGAGACTGAGGCAGGAGAATTGCCTGAACCCAGGAGGCGGAGATTGCGGTGAGCCGAGATCGCGCCATTGCACTCCAGCCTGGGTAACAAGAGTGAAACTCCGTCTCAAAAAAAAAAAAAAAAAAAAAAAATTAGCTAGGCATGGTGGCGAGCACCTGTAGTTCCATCCAGCTACTTGGGAGGCTAAGGCACAAGAATCACTTGAACCCGGGAGGCAAAGGTTGCAGTGAGCCGAGATCATACCACTGCACTCCAGTTTGGTGACAGAGCAAGACTCTGTCTCGAAATAAAGTAAAATAAAATAAATAAAATAAAATAAAATATAAAATGGGCTGGTGTGGTGGCTCACTCCTGTAATCCCAGCACTTTGGGAGGCTGAGGTGGGCGGATCACAAGATCAGGAATTTGAGCCTGGACAACATGGTGAAACCCCATCTCTACTAAAGATACAAAAAATTAGCCAGGCATGGTGGCAGGTGCCTGTAATTCCAGCTACTTGGGAGGCTGAGGCAGGAGAATCGGTTGAACCTGGGAGGCGGAGGTTGCCGTGAGCCGAGATTGTGCCATTGCACTCCAGCCTGGGAGACAGGGTGAGACTCTGTCTCAAAAAAAATAATAATTAAAATAAATAAATAAATAGCCAGATGTGGTAACGGGTGCTTGAAGTGCCAGCTACTCAGGAGGCTGAGGCAGGAGAATCGGTTGAACCCAGGAGGTGGAGGTTGTAGTGAGCCGAGATCGTGCCATTGCACTCCAGCCTGGGTGACAAAGGGACACTTCATCTCAATAAAATAAAATTAAAAAGTCAGCCAGGCAGAGTGGCTCACGACTGTAAGTAATCCCAGCACTTTGGGAGGCTGAGGCAGGTAGATTGCTTGAGGTCAGGAGTTCGAGACTGGCCTGGCCAATGTGGTGAAACCCCACCTCTACTAAAAATACAAAAATTAGTTGGGCGTGGTGATGGGCGCCTGGAACCCCAGATACTTGGAAGGCTTAGGTGGGAGAATTGCTTCAACCCAGGAGGTAGAGGTTGCAGTGAGCTGAGATACTGCCACTGCACTCCAGAACCTGGGTGATAGAGTGAGACTGTCACACACACACACACAATTAATATCTGAGAGTAGGATGTGCATAGGTTACATGCAAATACTATGCCATTTGATATCAGGGACTTGAGTACCGCTGATTTTAATATCTGCCAGGAGTCCTGGAACCAATCCCCTGCAGATACCAAGGGACAACTGAACTGAAACAAAAGGGCCCAGATGACTGCAACGTGAGTTGCGAGATACCCCATTGAACAGGAGCCAATTCTAGGCTGCGGCCAAATGACTTTTGTATTCAGCAGTACTATTCTGAGGGAGTGGGAAGAAAGCCCCACACCTCATCAGAAACTATGAGGAGAGGAGAAGCTGTCGAGCTTCTTCTCCTAGGGGAGGCTGCCTCCAGGTCCCTATCAGCCTCCTATTCTCTCCTTTTCTAGGAACATCACACAGCATTCTGCTAAGACTCAGAGACACTTCGATTCAAGTCTGTGCCTGTGTAGCTTATGTGGATACATGCAAGGTTGCCAGCGTTTCATGGTGGAGCTGTTTCTCTACAGCTTTCTCAGGATTTGAAAATAGGAATGAAAATCGGCTGGGCGAGGTGGCTCACAATGCAATCCCAGCACTTTGGGAGGCCAAGGTAGGTGGATCACTAGGTCAGGAGATCAAGACCATCCTGGCCAACATGGTGAAACGTCGTCTCTACTAAAAATACAGAAATTAGCTGGGTATAGTGGTGTGTGCCTGTAATCCCAGCTACTCTCGAGGCTGAAGCACAAGAATCAGTTGAATCCAGGAGGCAGAGGTTGCAGTGAGCTGAGATCACGCCACTGCACTCCAGCCTGGTGACAGAGTGAGACTTTGTCTCAAAAAAAAAAAAAAAAAAAAAAAAAAAAAATACAATGGGTGTAGCAGCACGGACCTGTAGTTTCAGCTACTCTGGAGGCTGAGGCAGAAGAATTGCTTGAACGTGGCAGGCAGAGAAGTTGCAGTGAGCTGAGATCGCACCACTGCATTCCAGGAAGAAGAAAGTAAGAATGAAAATCAAGAAATCTGAATTCCAATCTAGTCAAATCTATAATGTCATCTGATATAAACAAGTATTTAAGTATTATCTCTCCACGGCTCTTTTTTAAAATGGGAGAAATTACATATTTTTAATTGTTTACTTTTAGGGGGAGGGGGCTCTGTATCTCTTCTTATTAGGCTATAAACTGCATCAAAGCAGGGGCTTTATCTACTTTGTTCACTACTGAGGCCCCACTGCTTAGAACAGTGACAGGTATAAGGCAGAGATTCAGCAGACACTTGTTGGATTAATGAAATGAAGTGCAAGATATATTTCTCCATATTTTTTTGTTTGTGTGTATGTTTATGTGCATTTAAAGCCTTTAAAATCTGCTCTCAGGTCATTTGGAGAAAATTAATAGAAGAGACCCAAGTTGTTTTTTTTTTTTTTTTTTTTTTTTTTTTTGAGACGGAGTTTCGCTCTTGTTACCCAGGCTGGAGTGCAATGGTGCGATCTCGGCTCACTGCAACCTCCGCCTCCTGGGTTCAGGCAATTCTCCTTCCTCAGCCTCCTGAGTAGCTGGGATTACAGGCACGCGCCACCATGCCCAGCTAATTTTTTGTATTTTTAGTAGAGACGGGGTTTCACCATGTTCATCAGGATGGTCTCGATCTTTTGACCTCGTGATCCACCTACCTCGGCCTCCCAAAGTGCTGGGATTACAGGCTTGAGCCACCGCACCCGGCCAGTTTTTTTTTTTTTTTTTTTTTTTTTTTTGAGATGGAGTTTGGCTCTTGTTACCCAGGCTGGAGTGCAATGGCACGATCTTGGCTCACCGCAACCTCCGTCTCCTGGGTTCAGGCAATTCTCCTGCCTCAGCCTCCTGAGTAGCTGGGATTACAGGCACACGCCACCATGCCCAGCTAAATTTTTTTGTATTTTTAGTAGAGACGGGGTTTCACCATGTTGACCAGGATGGTCTCAATCTCTTGACCTCGTGATCCACCTGCCTCGGCCTCCCAAAGTGCTGGGATTACAGGCTTGAGCCACCGCGCCTGGCCTTTTTTTTTTCTTTTAAAGAGAGCTCAACTTTAAAAAGCATGAGGGAAGGCTCATTTAATATAAAAGTGAATAATTATATACTGCGGAGTGGAACATAGTATCCAAATGGATTTTTTATTACTGCTATTATAATAAATCCGAATGACACACAACTCTGACACATGGTTCTTTGTAATAATAGAAAATAGGGGAGGCCCAGCTTTTGCACTGTTTTTTTGTACATCTGCTACTCTCCCGGACATCTTCCTGGGTTCCTTGTTTCTCAACCAATATACAGTGTAGATCAGGAAAGAAACTGCAGGTGAAGGGACGTGCCTCTGGCTCTGATTATGACAAGTCATTCGCTTCTTTCCCCTAGACCCCAGTTTCTTCATTTTATGTGTTAGAGTGCATTTGTTTTGTTTTTGAGACAGTCTCACTCTGTCACCCAGGTTGGGGTGCAGTGGGGCAGGGGGGTGATCTTGGCTCACTGCCACTTCCACCTCCTGAGTTCAAGCCATTCTCCTGCCTCAGCCTCCCGAATAGTAGCTGGGATTGCAGGCGCCCGTCACCATGACAGGCTAAATTTTGTATTTTTGGTAGCGATGAGGTTTTGCCATGTTGGCCAGGCTGGTCTCGAACTCCTTACCTCAAGTGATCCACCCGCCTCGGCCTCCCAAAGTTCTGAGATTACAGGCGTGAGCCTCCACACCCAGCCGGTTTTCTTTAATTGCAATTAAGTGAAATGTAGAGGTAAAGAAGTTATGGCTCAGATAGATTGAGTGACCTGCTGAAAGATCACTAGTTAATATTAGAGACAAGTTTGGGACTCCAGGTTCATATTTCTTTCCACCACAACAATGAGACGCTCAGATCTCCCAAGTCCCTAGTTTTTTCCTCTTAATATTGTCTCATTGAGAGGGCAGGGATTTACTCTGGTTTGCTCCCAGCGTTTAAATCTCTCTCTGCCTGGCACACCGACAGGAATTTTGTCTGTTTTGAGCAGGCACTCAATATATATTTACTGAGTACAGACGCGCCACAGTTTGCCCTGTGACTTTGAGTAAGTCGCTGTTCCTTCCCGGATTTCATCTCTAAGCTCTGCTCGGCCCAGTCCCTACCCCGCAACTCCTTCGCTCCTCCGGCCAAGAGACGGCGCTATGGTGTTGCACCCCACCAAGCAGACAGCGGCGCCCTTCTTGGCCCGGCTGCGCCTTCGCCAGTCCGAGCGCGAGGAACCGGAAGTGCTGAAACCTCAGAGGCCGAGGCCGCCGCCGCTGCAGCTGCGGCCGTCTCTGAGTGCCGCGTTAGTCGCCTGGGTTTCCCCCGGCGGTGCCGCCGAGGAAGCCACTGCAGCCGGGACCGGAGTGGAAGCTGCGCAGCATGAAGCGGCGCAGGCCCGCTCCGTAGCGCGCGTCAGGACGGTCCGGGCGGGGCCGGGGGGGAAGGTGCAGTATCCGCCCCCCTCTCCTTCCCCTGCGCCGGCGAGGCCTGGGCCACCGCTCCCCGGGCCTTCTCCGCCTCCGCGGGACTGCCCGGCGCGTTCTCCGGGTCAGCCCGCTTTGCGGTTTACCCGTTGCGCCGCCCTGCGCGGGGCAGAGCCAGTGGCGGGGCCCCACTTGCCGGAAGAGGAAGCTGAGGCTCAGATTCCGAGTCAACCCGTCGTTCACTGGGCGCCCCTTGAGCTCTGGGCGCTGGCCTTGGGACTTGACGTCCGTTATCTTAATTGAGCCTCGCTGGGGTTGGGAGGCCGGGTATTGTCAGCGCTTACAGCTGAGGAAACGGAAGCCCACAGAGGCGAAGGGATTTGCCTTCAGTCCAACTTGGCAGATGGGGTTCGGACTCAGATTTTTCTGGTTTCCCAGCTGGTGGTCTTTTTTTCTCTCCTCTCTCTTGCTAGGTTGATCCCCTCCCTACTCACCGTCCCCTCCCATTCCGTTCCATCCACTCGCAGTGGGACACTTTCCTTTCCTGCCACACCTCTCTTCTCACTTACTTGTAAGACTTGGCATCTCTCCCTCAGCATTCTCTGCTATGCCCCTCCTCTTCCTCGTTCGTAGCTCTTGACGATCTTGGCCCCTTCTGTGCTAGCAAACCTCTCAACTAGGTGCAAACCATAAGGAGTGAGATAACTTCAGGTGTTTAAGTGGACGACTGTTTGGCCCTCGAGTTAAAAATTAAGAAATTTCACTTGAGTGGTGCCAAACCCAAGAGACCTAAAGCTATTTTCTTTCTTTGTTTCTTTCTTTTTTTTTTTTTTTTTGAAACGGAGTTTTGCTCGTTACCCAGGCTGGAGTGCAATGGCGCGATCTCGGCTCACCACAACCTCCGCCTCCTTGCCTCAGCCTCCTGAGTAGCTGGGATTACAGGCACGCGCCACCATGCCCAGCTAATTTTTTGTATTTTTAGTAGAGACGGGGTTTCACCACGTTGACCAGGATGGTCTCGATCTTTTGACCTCGTGATCCACCCGCCTCGGCCTCCCAAAGTGCTGGGATTACAGGCGTGAGCCACCGCGCCCGGCCCTAAAGCTGTTTTCTGAGTCAACACGCTCTATTTCTGAGTAAAGGGCTTAGTGATATGAGAAGATGTCTTGACATCTTAGTTTATTGTTGCTGTGCTTCCATAACCTCGCTGTTTTTCCTACACTTGCCACTTAGCTTTTCCCATCCCATCCCTCCATCACCTACTTGGGTTATGGGGGCCCAAAATTAAAACTGATAAAGTAACATGTAATAGCAGACCTTCCTTCTTTTTTTAATCTAAGCCAGAACTTCAACAAGTTTAATGCTGCTTTTTCCAGAAAAGTTACTGTATCAGTTATTCTCAGAGTAATGCATCAAGGCAAAAGGCAAAAATGGAATGCACTTAAGATGAATAGAAAATTCTTTATCTCGTGAAAAATCTTAAATTATTAAATTCGGGTTAATTCCCTTTCTGCAAAAATGGCCTGTAATTCTTACTGGCTATCCTACTGAGTTAATTCTGTCTCCAACCAGCTTTATACGACATGATTGCATAAAAGGAACAGGAATAGGCACATAAAAATAAATATCTACCATTTTTGATGATTTGCAAGTCACTCAGAAACTTCACATCTGTATGCCTTTTATAACTTTTTGAAACTTTTTTTAATGTATGTCTAGACACCAAGATTTACCATCTGAGGATATTCTTTTGACTATATTGGGCTGCACATCGCTGAAATAAAATAATTATTGAATTTTGATAACATAAAATGCAGATACAAAATAATTTAGGTGTTACATATTGTCCCAAAAAGTGGTATTTCGGTGTCAGTTTTTACAGTTTTGGGGCTTCTGTTTTTGGCCACATATGGTCCATCTTAATGATCGAAATCTTCTATTTCATTATCATGGTGAGCAGGATTGGATGGTGAGAAAAGGAAAGATTCCTGTGAGAAGAGCAGGATGAGCAGAGGGATTCTATGCTTGAAGTTGAGTCACTTGAAAAAGATCTCTTTGAATGTGGAAGAGATCTGAGCAGATGAAAATAAAATCAGGTAGGCACCAGGGAAGCTACTTAAGTGACAAGGTAGGTGGGGCAGGGAAATACGTGCACTGTGCTGAAAAGGTACACTGACCCTGTTTTCCTCTTTTTGAACAAAATTCAGGTCACCTATTTTGAGAATGTATTTGTATTTAGTAAGAAATTAAGTCACCAAACATCTGCACAAATTACTATTATAATATTAGGTCTATCCTAGAAAATGCAGGATGTACATTTGCTGTGAACATACAGAATAGCAGAGTATCATTTGAACTGTACCATGTTTGTACGTGTACACATGTGTGCATGTGCATAGGGAGAGTGTCCAGGGGTTAGTACGATTCAGGACTACCAGGCAATTTAAATGTAAGCTAATGTACCTTTTACATAGGAAAAGATATGAAGTGATTGTATAACTAAAGAACCTGGGCATGGCCAGGTGAGGTGACACATGCCTATAATCCCAGCACTTTATGGGTGGGGCAGGAAGACTGCTGGAGGCCAGGAGTTCAAGACCAGCCTGGGCAACATAGTGAGACCTCCCCCCCCCCCGCCCCGTCTCTACAAAAAAGTTTTTAAAAAGTGGCTGGGTATGGTGATGCATTCTTGTGGTCCTAGCTACTTGGAAGGCTGAGGCATGAGGATCCCCTGACTCCAGGAGTTCAAGGCTGTACCACTACACTGCAACTTGGGCAACAGTGAGACTTGTCTAAAAACAATAAATAAACTGGACAGTAAGGCTTGGGAGGAGGTCTTTCTGTTGAGCTTCCCTGTTCTGTTCCTTAGCCATAATCTTGCAAGCATAGTTTGGAGATGAACTTCCAAACACAAAACTAAAGTAGTTAAGAAAAATGAGCCTAATTTGTATAGGTTCCTCTCTCATTTGTCCCTCAGTCTATTGTCTGTAAAACAGGGTCTGTTGACATTTGGTAGCAAGTAGACCTCCACTAGCTTTTAGTTGGGCAGATAAACATAACATGTTACAGTATATAACCCCAGAGTCTATACTGTCAGTAAATATCAGTATGCTGAATACTCGTTGAGCCAAATGACTTAATTCTCTCTGCCAAGCTGTTTTGGTTTTAGTCATTGAAAGTGAATGCTCACTTGTCATAATGTTAAAAGTATACCTGATTTAACTATCTAATAGGTTTTCTGGCCTCTTTGTTACTGTTATATTGAATAGGTAACTTTAGCATGAAAAAGGCAAAAGCTGCACACGCAGGTCATTCAGTTCTTTGGCATGCCAGTAACGTGTGCTTAATGGACTAAGTCATAATCCATACCTGATAACTTTTAGTTATGTTAACCTTCAAATTTGGGATTAAAAAAAGATACATTAAGTGAACAGCCATGTATCGATTATTATTATAGAAGTAGTTAATGATTATGTTAAATTTTGTTACATAAATGCAGTTTAGTTTATCTCCCAAGTCCACATGTCTTTGACATTTATTAGTTCAAAAACAGCAAATTGCCCAGAATTTTTATGTCCTCCTTTTTGGCAGTGTCATGAATAGTATATGTCAGAATTCACACTGGTTTATGATAACACTTTTTGTTATTTGATACTTTGCTCATGTTAAATGTTGGAAAAGATAAAGGAGAAATGCAACTTCTTCTGAATTTACGAAATGAGAAAAAACTAACAGATGAGATATTAAACACTGTTTAGGGGTTGAACCAGTAGACCTCAGTTTATACTTTTATCAAAATACTGTTGGTACAAATATTAAAGGCTTTCTGTATCAACTACTTCAGCTACTTAAAGCCACTTTAAGATAGTATCTTTTTTTTTTTTTGTCATTTAATCAGTTTATGTTGTATGATTGGTAAGAATAGTCACATAAGTTTCTTTAAAATAATATGGTCACTACAAGTGATCATGATAGTGATGTCTAGGCAAGAGCAGAAGACTCAAAAACCTACCAGCCAGATAAGTGCTTTGTTTGGCATTCCGTTTAAAAGGAAACAATATGTTATCTTGATAAGTACCCTAGGAAGGTTATTACATGCACGTTGTTTTTGACAATTTTATTACTGTTCTCATTTGCTGTGGTTATGTCTGTTAGCCGAAAAAATTCTACACTTACCAAATGTGTTACTTTTTAAAATGCAAAACACTTAGTTTCCTTGGCACAGTTAGCTTCGCTATTGACATGCTCTTGGGGTGGAGCATAGCAGCCAACTGGCAAATGGCCTGTTTCCTTCCAATGTGGGAAAGAAAAGGGAGTTTTGGCAAGAAATACCTAAGGAGAGCCATTTATAAAAGTTACCAAAGGGATTTATAGGCACTGTGAAGTAACATGACCTCAATTTTTTTTTTAATTTCATTTTTAAACTGAACACAGAGAAGGGAGAGCTATTGCTTTTCTTACTAGGTTTCATTGCAGCTGCGCTAAAAAGGATTTTTTTCTTGCCCTCCCCACCCCTCCTCATTCTTTGACCCTATCAGAGTTATTCTGATAATAAAAGACAGACCTGTGAACAGCTTCATGTGCCTTGTTTTTCTAGGAAAATGCAACATGGCAGCAGCAATGGAAACAGAACAGCTGGGTGTTGAGATATTTGAAACTGCAGACTGTGAGGAGAATATTGAATCACAGGATCGGCCTAAATTGGAGCCGTTTTATGTTGAGCGGTATTCCTGGAGTCAGCTTAAAAAGCTGCTTGCTGATACCAGAAAATATCATGGCTACATGATGGCTAAGGCACCACATGATTTCATGTTTGTGAAGAGGAATGATCCAGATGGGCCTCATTCAGACAGAATCTATTACCTTGGTGAGTACAACGTGATAGTTTCTGAGAGAAAATGCTCTTTTAAGTCAAACTTAAGAGTCTAGAGACAATTGGCACTCAAATTTTGATGAATAAATAAATGATTAGTGACTTTTGGTTCCATTAAAGAAAAAAACCTTAAAACTTAATTTGAAGAATTTGGTTTTGTTTTATGCCATTAACTTTATTAGGTAACAAATAATGAATTGACCGTGATCATTTCTCAGAGTCAAAGATTACAGAAATTGCTTTTTCCTAAAGCTAGCTTGAACTGCCCCCCCCCCTTTTTTTTGAGACAGAGTCTTGCTGTGTCGCCCAGGCTGGAGTGCAGTGGCGTGATCTCCGCTCACTGCAACCTCCGCCTCCTGGGTTCAAGCGATTCTCCTGCCTCAGTCTCCTGAGTAACTGAGATTACAGGTGTCTGCCACCATGCCCAGCTAATTTTTGTATTTTTAGTAGAGATGGGGTTTCTCCATGTTGGTCAGGCTGGTCTTGAACTCCTGACCTTGTGAACTGCCTGCCTTGGCCTCCCAAGTGCTGGGATTACAGGCTTGAACCACTGCGCTCTACCTGAAATGCCTTTCTTTAGATGATCTAATTAGGAAAACAAACAATAAAACTATGTTTGTTCCCACTCAACAGCTGCTGCTGTTTTTTTTTTAATCCAAGGCTGGTTTTGGTCTTGAGTCCATTCACTCCAGATTTAAGGTCAGCCTAAATTAAATATATTAACCTACTGATTTACTTTTCGTTTATTAAATTTTTAAAGGTAGGTTCCCTACCCTCCTCCAAAATTTTTCCAGTGTAAGTTTTATTTGTTTATATGAATGTGTGCATATATATATTTTATTTATTTGTATGTGTATGTGGTGTGTGTGTGTATATGTGTATAGAGATATTAAAGATACTAACCGGGCGCGGTGGCTCAAGCCTGTAATCCCAGCACTTTGGGAGGCTGAGGCAGGTGGATCACAAGGTCGAGAGATCGAGACCATCCTGGTCAACATGGTGAAACCCTGTCTCTACTAAAAATATAAAAAAAAAATTAGCTGGGCATGGTGGCACATGCCTGTAATCCCAGCTACTCAGGAGGCTGAGGCAGGAGAATTGCTTGATCCCAGGAGGCGGAGGTTGCGGTGAGCCGAGATCGTGCCATTTTACTCCAGCCTGGGTAACAAGAGCGAAACTCCCGTCTCAAAAAAAAAAATATATATATATACTGTCTGCATGAGTTCATGTCATAATCACAGATGTTTTTTTTTTTTTTTTTTTTTTTTTTGGAGACAGGGTCTCACTCACTCTGTCATCCAGGTTGGAGTGCAGTGGCGCACTAATGGCTCACTTCAGCCTTGACCTCTCAGGCTCAAACAATTTTCCCACCCTAGCCCCCCTAATAGCTAGGACTATAGGTATATGCCACCACTGCCAGCTAATTTTTTGTATTTTTTTTGTAGGGATGGAGTTTTGCCATGTTGCTCAGGCTGGGATTCATTTTTTTTTAAATAACTTCAGAATATTCCACTATGTAATTACTTGTGCCAAATTTTACTTAACCAGACCTCTGATAATGGTCAAAGGCTACCACAACCAACTAATTTTTTCAGTTTTTTTTTTCTAGAGACCGAGTTTTGCCATGTTGCTCAGGCTGGGATTCATTCTTTTTTTAACAACTGAGGATATTCCATTATCTAATTGTGCCTTTTTTTTTTAAGACGGAGTGTTGGCCCTGTTGCCCAGGCCGGAGTGCAGTAGTGCGATCTCAGCTCACTACAACCTCCGCCTCCCGGCTTCAAGCGATTCTCCTGCATCAGCCTCCTAAGTAGCTGGGACTATAGGGGCGTGCAACCACGCCTGGCTAATTTTTTTTTGTAGAGATGGGGTTTCACTGTGTTAGCCAGGATGGTCTCAATCTCCTGACCTCGTGATCTGCCCGCCTCAGCCTCCCAAAGGGTTAGGATTACAGGTGTGAGCCACTGCCCCAGCCAATTGTTCTGTATTTTACTTAACCAGACCTCTAGTAATGGTATTTAGGTTTTTCTTTTTCTTTCTTTCTTTTTTTTGAGACAGAGTATCTCTCTGTCACCAAGGCTGGGGGGTGCAGTGGCGTGATCTTGGCTCATTGCAAACCTTTGCCACCCAGGTTCAAGCAATTCTCCTGCCTCAGCCACCTGAGTAGCTGGGATTACAGGCACCCGCCACCACACCTGGCTAATTTTTTTTTTGTATTTTTGGTAGAGACGGGGTTTCACCATGTTGGCCAGGCTGGTTTTGAACTCCTGACTTCAAGTGATGCCCCCTCCTTGGCCTCCCAAAGTGCTGGGATTATAGGTGTGAGCCACTGTGCCTGGCTGCATTTAAATTTTTCTAATCTGCTGTTACAAAAGATGAGGAAGTGACTATCACTGTATTAGATCATTTTGCACATATGTAAATATACCTGTAGAACTAATTTCTAAGAGTGGAATTGCAGGGACAAAGGGTATATGTATTATGGATTTTGGTTGATACTACTAAACTCCCCTTTCAAAGATATTGCAGAGTTTATACTACCATCAGCATTATCTCAGATTGTCTGTTTCTCAATGCATACACCAATGGTGAGTAATTAAAGTTTTTGATCTTAGCCGGGCGCGGTGGCAGCACTTTGGGAGGCCGAGGTGGGTGGATCACGAGGTCGAGAGATCGAGACCATCCTGGTCAACATGGTGAAACCCGTCTCTACTAAAAATACAAAAAACTAGCTGGGCGTGGTGGCGCGTGCCTGTAATCCCAGCTACTCAGGAGGCTGAGGCAGGAGAATTGCCTGAACCCAGGAGGCGGAGGTTGCGGTGAGCCGAGATCGCACCATTGCACTCCAGCCTGGGTAACAAGAGCAAAACTCCGTCTCAAAAAAAAAAAAAAAAAAAAAAAAAAAGTTTTTGATCTTTTCTAGTGAACAGCAGTTTCTCATGTAGTTTTCATTTTATTTCTCATAAGAGTGAGGTTGAGCATCATTTCATATGCTTAAAAAGCCATTTGTGACTGGGTACGGTGGCTTACGCTTGTATTCCCAGCACTTTGGGAGGCTGAGGCTGGTGGATCACTTGAGGACAGGAGTTCAAGACCAGCCTTGCCAACATGGTGAAATTGCATTCTTACTAAAAATATAAAAATTAGCCAGGCATAGTGGCACACACTTGTAATCCCAGCCACTTGGGAGGCTGAGGCAGGAGTATTGCTTGAACCTGGGAGGTGGAGGTTGCAGTGAGCCGAGATGGCCCCACTGCACTCTACCGTAGATGACAGAGTGAGACTCAAGGGGAAAAAAAAGCCATTTGTATTTTTTTTCTGTGCAGTCACAGTCTATAATACTGGCTTTTTTAGATTCAGTTGGGTTACTTTTTTCTTTTTTTTAAAGTTCTTTTCCACCTAACCTCTGAAGAGAGTTTCTTTTTCTTAATGATTGGAAGCGTTTTATGTAATAAGTGAATTAATCCTTTGTGGGATTGTCCCGAATTTGTGTATTTTTTAATTAATTATTTTTTGAGGCAGGGTCTCGCTCTGTCATCTAGGCTAGTGTGCAGTGGCCTGATCTTGGCTCACGGCATCACTGACCTCCCAGGCTGACGTGATCCTCCTGTCTCAGTCCCCCAGGTAGCTGGGACTACAGGTGCATGCCACCGTGCCCAACAAATTTGTGTATTTTTTTTTGTAGAAACAGGTTTCACCATGTTGCCCAGGCTGATCTGAAACTCCTGAGCTCAAGCAATCCTCCTGCCTTAGCCAGGATTACAGGCATAAGCCACCGCACCCAGCCTTTATTATTTATTTATTTATTTATTTTTTAAATTTTTTGAGATGGGGTCTTACTTTGTTGGCCAGGCTGGAGTGCAGTGATTTGATCCTGGCTCACTGCAACCTCCACTTCCCAGTGTCAAGCCATCCTCCCGTCTCAGCCTCCTGAGTAGCTGGGACTAAAGGCACACACCACTATGCCCAGCTAATTTTTGTATTTTTGGTACAGATGGGGTTTCATCACGTTACTCAGCTGGTCTCAAACTCCAGACCTCAAGCTGTCTACCCACCTCAGTCTGCCAGAGTGCTGGGATTACAAGTGTGGGCCACTACACCTGGCCAGAAATGTTTTCTTTTATAGGAAATTACACATTTTGGAGAGCCCTTATTCCAAATGTGGCATACATAGAAGAAGCCCTGTTATTTAGTTACAAGCATTTTGTTACATTAGCATTTTACTTTTTTGCATGCTTAATTTCGCCTCTTGTTCTTTGTCAGGTTATCCTAAAGAGGAACAGGACTCATTGACAGTGTTGCCTGAAGACATGGGCAGCTATAGCTCTAAAGGCTCTAAATGGGCTTTTCTCATTCTTTCCTAATAAATACCATTAGGTATTTATTTCCTAATGATATTTATTAGGAAAGAATGAGAAAAGCCCATTTTTGTGCTTAGATCAGGATATAGATTGTATTAGGGAAATTTTTACTGGTCATGGATAAACCAAGGAAGACATTATGGAACTAGGAGCATATAGGGAGGGGCAACTGAAATAATCGTGGGGAATGCCTGTTACAGAGGAGAGAAGAAAAACAGTTTTGTGTTTTTCTTTTCTTTCTTTTTTTTTTTTTTTTGAGGCAGAGTCTCCCCTGTTGCTAGACTGGAGTACAGTGACGCGATCTGGCTCACTGTAGCTTCCGCCTCCTGGATTCAAGCGATTCTCCTGCCTCAGCCTCCCAAGTAGCTGGGACTACAGGCAAGCACCACCATGCCTAGCTATTTTTTGTATTTTTAATGGACACAGGTTTTCACCATGTTGGCCAGTCTGGTCTCGATCTCTTGACCTCGTGATCTACCTGCCACAACCTTCCAAAGGGCTGGGATTACAGGTGTGAGCCACCTCACCCGGCTGTGTTTTTCTTTTAATATTTGAAGACTAAAGGCTCCTAGAGAATGGTTTAAGGAGGATATGACCACATTTTATAAAATTGTGAATGTTATATATGGGTGACCACAATCATAAGAATTCTGTAACAAAGCAACTTTGTTTTAAATCTACAAAGTAGATTTTAGACAAAACTGAGTGCTGAAGTAAATGTCAGCCACTATCTTAACTTTTTACTCCAAAGGCAACATAAACCAAGGTTTAAAAAATAAGAAGATAAAAGGAGTTGTGGTTATTTGGGGGCTTATCCTCAACCTTTGCAAGGGTAAGCATGGGAGTAACATACTCTTCCCACAACTACCTTTTGCTGGCATTAATAATTCAGAAAGGCCAGGGGCGGTGGCTCAAGCCTGTAATCCCAGCACTTTGGGAGGCCGAGGCGGGTAGATCATGAGGTCAAGAGATCGAGACCATCCTGGTCAACATGATGAAACCCCGTCTCTACTAAAAATACAAAAAATTAGCTGGGCATGGTGGCGTGTGCCTGTAATCCCAGCTACTCAGGAGTCTGAGGCAGGAGAATTGCCTGAACCCAGGAGGCGGAGGTTGTGGTGAGCCAAGATCGTGCCATTGCACTCCAGCCTGGGTAACAAGAGTGAAACTCCATCTCAAAAAATAAATGAATAAATAAATAAATAAATAAAAATAATAATAATTCAGAAATACAGGTTGAGGATCTCTTTCACCCAGGAGATTTCTTGTTATTTCTGTGTGATTTGTTTTTTCCTTCCTTCACTCCTCCAGCTTTTTGGAAGCAATACCTTTGTTTTTGTCTTTTTTTTTTTTTTTTTTTTTTTTTTTTTTTTTTTGTGACAGAGTTTTGCTCTTGTTGCTCAGGCTGGAGTGCAGTGGCATGATCCCAGCTCACTGCAACCTCCAGCTCCCAGGTTCAAGCTATTCTCCTGCCTCAGCCTCCCTGAGTAGCTAGGATTATAGGCATGTGCCACCATGTATCTACTAAAAATACAAAATTACACTCCACTAATTTTGTATTTTTAGTAGAGTTGAGGTTTCTCCATGTTGGTCAGACTGGTCTCAAACTCCCGGTCTCAGGTGATTCGCCTGCCTTGGCTTCCCAGAGTCCTGGTATTAGAAGTGTGAGTCACTGCGCCTGGCCATCAATAACTTTTTAGAGTAGAAGGGCTTCGTTTTACCCTGTTCACATTTTCTTTGTTTCACATCTTCATAACCATAGTGTGTTTCTGTCACTCTTATGTGTAACTCACTTTATACTGCTGTGACCTTCCCATTCAGTTATCACATGATTTCACAGAATAGATTTGGCTTCTACTTAACTTAGACCTTTTTCTTTTTCCCTTTCCCAATAAAGGACAAAGAGATTTTCAGCAGGTCAGATACCAGATTCTGTGTTGTTTTAATATAGGTATACTTTTATTGGAAACCCTAAAAGCCTTTTTAGTGATTACAGTTACAGAACTTTTTTTTTTTTTTTGAGATAGAGTCTTGCTCTGTTGCCTAGGCTGGGGTGCAGTGGTGTGGTCTTGGCTCACTGCAACCTCCTCCTCCTGGGTTAAAGCAGTTCTCCTACCTCAGCTTCCCAGGTAGCTGGGATTATAGGCACCTCCCACTATGCCCAGCTAATTTTTTTGTATTTTTAGTAGAGACAGGGTTTCACCATTTTGGCTAAGCTGGTCTTGAACTCCTGACCTCAAATGAACTGCCTGCCTCGGCCTCCCAAAGTACTGGGATTACAGGCATGTGCCACCAAGCCTGGCCTGCAGGACTTTTATAATGAATAAAAACTAGAATTCAGTTAGATGTATGTGTTTCGCAGTAAGCACTTTAAATGTTTCAGAAACAGAAGAAACAGTAATCTGAAGTTGTTACACTGGAATCTCATGAGTCTGTTGCCAACTTGTAAAGGACTAACAATTCTCAAAAAATTCTAAAAATGGTACTTGTCTTAACTTTACACAGCAACTTACATACTTTTATATTTATTTTGAGGGGGATTAAGGTCTAAAATGAAACCTGAGCATTTTTCTTTAAAGCCTTGGATTTCTTTTTGTTGATTTTTTGGGCTTTTTTTTTTTTTTTTTTTTAAGATAGGATCTTATTATGTTGCCTGGGCTGGTGATGAATTCCTGGGTTCAAGTGATCCTCCAGCCTTAGCCTCCCAAGTAGCTGGGATTATAGGCATGTGTATTGTGCCAGGCTAATATTTTTTTGGAAAGTGTTATGGAAAGTTTTTATGGCATATGGCATGGGCACATCGTACTTGTTGCCATTCATTGTAAGTCCCACAGAGTGCAGAATATTCCAACATATAGAAGGCATACTTGCAACTGTGACTGTTGTAAGAATGCTATTTGAAAAAATAATAATATATGATTGTTTTTTCTTATAGCCATGTCTGGTGAGAACAGAGAAAATACACTGTTTTATTCTGAAATTCCCAAAACTATCAATAGAGCAGCAGTCTTAATGCTCTCTTGGAAGCCTCTTTTGGATCTTTTTCAGGTAGGGTTAAATGTTGTTATTCTTGTGATTTGGTGTATGTATTCAGATACTGCATTATTTAGAGGTTGGGATTTTACATTTGCAATGGATGTAAATTAAAAATTAAAACATTTTTATGTGTTTGCATGTGTGACACTTAAATTCCATTTAATTCTTTTTTTTTTTTTTTTTTGAGGCGGAGTTTCGCTCTTGTTACCCAGGCTGGAGTGCAGTGGTGTGATCTCGGCTCACCGCAACCTCTGCCTCCTGGGTTCAGGCAATTCTTCTGCCTGAGCCTCCTAGTAGCTGGGACTACAGGCGTGCACCACCATGCCCAGCTAATTTTTGTATTTTTAGTAGAGACGGGGTTTCACCATGTTGACCAGGATGGTCTCGATCTCTCGACCTCGTGATCCACCCGCCTCGGCCTCCCAAAGTGCTGGGATTACAGGCGTGAGCCACCACGCCTGGCTCCATTTAATTCTTGATATCTGAAACTAAGATATATTAAAATTCAATTTTTTAACTACCTTCTCCCTGTTTAACTGCATTCCCTTTCATAAACTTTGTACTTATGTAGTTCTCATATTTTTCCGAGTAGTTGTTCACAGAAAGAACTGATAAATATTTTAGATGCCCTATTAGATTGAGAAATTTCCTATTTATAATTTAGATGTTTTTATCATGAAAGAGTGCTGGGTTTTATATGGCTTTTCTGTGTCTGTTGAGATTATCATGTTTTTTCTTTATTGTATTAATATGGTGCATTACACGGATTACTTTTCATATGTTAAACCAAGTGTATATTCCTGAAATGGATCCTCCTTGGTCTTGGTATATAATTCTTCTAATATGCCGCCATATGTATTCACTTTGTTGGTGGTTTGTTGAGGATTTTTACATCCATGTTTATAAGAGACATTGGTCTGTAGGCTTACTTTCTTGTGATCTCTTTGTCTGGTTTTGGTATCAGGTCAATACTGATCTCATTGAATGTGTTAGGAAGCGTTCCACCTCTTTTTTTTGTTGTTGTTGTTGGAAGAGTTTACGGAAGACTGGTCTTAATTCTTCTTTAAGCATTTGGTTGAATTTATCAGTGAAGCTTTTCTTTGTGTGAAGTTTTTTTTTTTTTTTTTTTTTTTTCTATCCAGCAGCCTCTCAAGCCAGAGTAGTCTCAGAGAGATTCTAAAGTTTTTTGATTACTAACTAACTCAGTCTCTTGTTGTAGCTTTATTCAGATTTTCTCTTTCTTCTTGAGTCAGTTTTGATAGTTTATTTTTCTAGAAATTTGTCTGTTTCATAAAGGTTAATCTGTTAGTGTACAGTTGTTCATACTCTCCTCTTAAAATTGTTTTTATTCCTACAAGCTTTTTAGTAATGACCCCTCTTTGATCCTGAAATTAATAATTTGAGAGTTCTGTGTTTTGTGCTCAGTTGTGTGTGCTCTCTCAGTCTCCCTCTCTCTCTCTGTCTCTCTGGGTCAATCTAGCTAAATTTGTTGATTTTCTTGATTTTTAAAAAGGACTAGTTTTTTGGTTTTTTTTGAGTTCTGTTTTCTTGTTCTCAATTTTGTTTATTTCCAATTTAATTTGTATTATTTCATTCCTTCTGCTTGCTTTGGGTTTAGTTTATTCTTTTTTCCCTGTGGTAAGGTTGGAGATTAGCTTATTGGTTTTTTTTTTGTTCGTTTTTTTTTTTTTTTTTGAGACGGAGTTTCGCTCTTGTTACCCAGGCTGGAGTGCAATGGCGCGATCTTGGCTCACTGCAACCTCCGCCTCCTGGGTTCAGGCAATTCTCCTGCCTCAGCCTCCTGAGTAGCTGGGATTACAGGCACTCACCACCGCGCCCAGCTAATTTTTTGTATTTTTAGTAGAGACGGGGTTTCACCATGTTGACCAGGATGGTCTCGATCTCTTGACCTCGTGATCCACCCGCCTCGGCCTCCCAAAGTGCTGGGATTACAGGCTTGAGCCACCACGCCCGGCTTGTTTTTTTTTTTTGAGACAGAGTCTCACTCTTGTTGCCGAGGCTGGAGTACAGTAGCACAGTCTTGGCTCGCTGTAACCTCTGCCTCCTCGGTTCAAGTGATTCTCCTGCCTCAGCCTCCTGAGTAGCTGAGATTACAGGCACCTGTCATTACACCCAGCTAATTTTTGTATATTTTTAGTAGAAATGGTTTTCACCACGTTGGTCAGGCTGGTCTTGAACTCCTGACCTCAAATGATGTGCCCACCTTGGCCTCCCAAAATGCTGGGATTACAGGTGTGAGCCACCATGCCCGGTACATTTATAGTTATTAATTGCCCTCTGAGCACTGCTTTCATTGCATCTCTGAAGTGTTGGTATATTTTATTTTTATTTTTTTTCATCTAGTTTTCTCATTTCTTTGATTTCTTTGACCCTTTGTCTTTCCTCTCCTTGTATCACCATGTAAAGACTCTCAAGGCAGTTAGCTAGAACATTTGTATAATTCAGCTCATTTGGTTCCCATTTTTAAAGGATCACTATTTTTTGTTGTCTGAAGTCCAGTGTCTTGAAGACATTATTTAATTCATTTTGGCAGTTTTCGTAGTTGTTAGAGGTGGAAGAATAAATCTGGTACTTAATATTGGCTGGAAGAAGAAGTTAGTTTCTTTTTCCCTTTTTCCTTTTCCTTTTTTTTTTTTTTAAAGAGATAGGGTCCTTTTCTGTCACCCAGGCTAGAGTGTCATGATCATGTCTCATTGTAGCCTTGCACTGCAAAACTCAAGCAATCCTCCTGCCTCTGCCTCCCGAACTGCTAGGACAGGTACATGCCACTATATCCTGCTATTTTCTTTTTTTTTGATAGGGACAGTTTTGATATGTTGCCCAGGCTGGTCTAGAACTCCTGGCCTCAAGTGATCTGCCATCCTCAGTCTCCCAGAGTGCTGGGATTACAGGCATAAATTACTGGTGCTGGCCAGAAGTCTGTTTCGTTTTAACATTTCAATTACTGATTCATTTGAAATATGTGAAAAGTGGATCCAATTTTATCTTTTCGTATATAGCTATACAGTAATTCCAACAGATTTAAAATTTAGATCGGTAGTCACAGGTTGTAAAAGACCTATCTTTTCCTTGTCATCTTTTTATTACTAATTTCCTTCTTTTTTTTGAAACAGAGTCTTGCAATGTTGCCCAGGCTGGAGTGCAGTGGTGCAGTCAGGCTCACTGCAGTCTCCGCCTCCCAAGTTCAAGCAGTTCTCCCACCTCAGCCTCCCAAGTAGCTGGGATTACAGGCACACATCATACCTGACTAATTTTTATATTTTCTGTAGAGATGGGATTTCACCATGTTGCCCAGGCTGGTCTCAAACGCCTGGGCTCACGCAATCTGCCCACCTTGGCCTCTCAAAGTGCTGGGATTACAGGGATGAGCCACTCAGCCTGGACTTTGTCTTACCGATTTCTATACTTGAGTGTTCTATTTTGGATTTTCTTTTTTTTAATTTTTTTAGAGAGATGAAGTCTCATTGCATTGCCCAGGATGGTCTCAAACTCCTGGGCTCAAGCAGTTCTCTCAACTCAGGAGTACAGTGGCACTATCTCTGTTCACTGTAGCCTCTGCCTCCCACGTTTAAGCAGTTCTTCTGTCTCAACCTCCTGAGTAGCTGGGATTACAGGCCCCTACACCTGGCTAGTTTTTTTTTTTTTTTGTATTTTTAATAGAGATGGGGTTTTTGCCGTGTTGACCAGGCTTGTCTTAAACTCTTGACTGCAAGTGATCCTCCCAACTTGGCCTCCCAAAGTGCTGGGATTACAGGCATGAGGCACCAGACCTGGCCACAAACTTTCTTTGAGAGACATTATAACAAATATGTTGTAAGTAGGAAAAGAAAACCACACAGTTTCTGCTCTGAAGTTTTTATTTTTCATCTAGTTAGTAAATATACTGAGAAAGTGAAAAACAAAACCATTGTTAAATAAGTAAGAGACTGTAACTCCTGTAAATAATATAGGAAGTAAATGAAATAAATCAATTATTTCATGAGGGCCAGGCTTGGTGGTTGACGCCTGTAATCCTAGTGGTTTGGGAGGCCGAGGTGAGCAGATCACTTGAGGCCAGGAGTTTGAGACCAGCCTGGCCAACATGGCGAAAGTCTGTTCCTACTAAAAATACAAAAAATTAGCTGGGCTTGGTGGCACATGCCTGTAATCCCACCTACTCAGGAGGCTGAGGCACAAGAACACTTGAATCCAGGGGGCAGAAATTGCACTGAGCTGAGATCATGCTGCAGCACTCCAGCTTGGGCAACAGAGGGAGAGTTTGTCTCAGAAAAAAGAAAGAGAGAAAAATTACTGTGAAATTGTGGATTGGACAACTTTGCTGGCTGAGGATTCAAGCAAGGTTTTGGGATATAAGTAAACTGGGTAAACTAGGTAGAAAGAGAAACAGTCTTCTAAGAGTCCAAGGGAGAGGGGTAGAACAGACAAAGGCCAGGAGACAGAAAACCACTCATTGATATTTAGATCTGTGATGTGACCAGCTTGACCTCTAAGATTTTATTAAGAAGAGTATTGCTAGTGTAGTAGAAAGGTTCTAATACCAGCTGACATATTTGAGAGCTTACTCTTTGTCAGTCATTGTGCTAAACACTGTACATATTTTTATCTAAATTTATCTTCACAAAGCTAATGTAGATGATCTATTACTATTTGAAAGTGAGGAAAATTACTTTTGAATAAATTAAGCTACTTTCTCAAGGTTAGACTTCGGGTGAAGGGTCAAAGCTTGGATTCAAACCACTTAGAAGTCTGTCCTGTTAACTGTGTGCAGCCTACTAAATTACAGTTAAGTTGTTGAAAGTCTCAACTGCCAACGTGATTAGATTTTATTCTTCTGTAATGTATACAATAATCATCTAAAGACCTTTACCAGGAAATCTTTTTTTTTTTTTTCTCTTTTTCTTTTGAGACGGAGTTTCGCTCTTGTTACCCAGGCTGGAGTGCAATGGCGCAATCTCGGCTCACTGCGATCTCGGCTCACTGCAACCTCCGCTTCCTGGGCTCAGGCAGTTCTCCTGCCTCAGCCTCCTGAGTAGCTGGGATTACAGGCACACGCCACCACGCCCAGCTAGTTTTTTGTATTTTTAGTAGAGACGGGGTTTCACCATGTTGACCAGGATGGTCTCGATCTCTCGACCTCGTGATCCACCCGCCTCGGCCTCCCAAAGTGCTGGGATTACAGGCTTGAGCCACCGCGCCCGGCCTTTTTTTTTTTTTTTTTTTTTTTTGAGACGGAGTTTCGCTCTTGTTGCCCAGGCTGGAGTGCAATGGCGCGATCTCGGCTCACCGCAACCTCCGCCTCCCGGGTTCAGGCAATTCTCCTGACTCAGCCTCCTGAGTACTGGGATTACAGGCACGCACCACCATGCCCAGCTAATTTTTTGTGTTTTTAGTAGAGATGGGGTTTCACCATGTTGACCAGGATGGTCTCGATCTCTTGACCTCATGATCCACCCGCCTCGGCCTCCCAAAGTGCTGGGATTACAGGCTTGAGCCACCGCGTCCGGCCTTTTTTTTTTTTTTTAAGACAGAGTCTCACTCTGTCCCCAGGCTGAAGTGCAGTGATGTTGATCTCTGCTCACTGCAACCTCTGCCTCCCAGGTTCAAGTGATTCTCCGACCTGAGCCTCTGAGTGGCTGGAACTACAGGCGTGTGCCACCATGCCCAGCTAATTTTTGTATTTTTAGTAGAGATGGGGTTTCACCTTATTGACCAGGATGGTCTCAATCTGTTGACTTCGTGATCTGCCCACCTTGGCCTCCCAAAGTGCTGGGATTACAGGCGTGAGCCACTGTGCTTGGCTGGAGCCAAGCCACTGTGCTTGGCGTGAGCCACTGTGCTTGGCAGATTTCCTAAAAATCTGCTTAAAGTTGCCGGCAAAGTTTGGGGTCATTGAACACTGAATTGTGCTCAGTGAATTAGAAGGCTGAAAAAAGAAAAGTAGAGTCAATAATGTTGGCAATTTTAGAATTTCAGTGCTAAAAGCAAAAGGCAGTTTTTCAGAAGACTGGAATAGGTGTCTTTCCTTTCACACTAGGCAACACTGGACTATGGAATGTATTCTCGAGAAGAAGAACTATTAAGAGAAAGAAAACGCATTGGAACAGTTGGAATTGCTTCTTATGATTATCACCAAGGAAGTGGAACATTTCTGTTTCAAGCTGGTAGTGGCATTTATCACGTAAAAGATGGAGGGCCACAAGGATTTACGGTAAGTTGGAGTTGCTAATGGTTAAATCTGGTTTAGGTCCAAAGGGTTATTTGCACCCAAATCAGAAAGGCAGTTACCAGAAACTTGTGTTTACCCACCAACAAAGAAATGTCATAGCAACGAAAACAAGAAACATGGAAATTAATTTCCAATTTTAAGAGCTAATTTTTTACCAGCTTGGGAAACATAGGGAGACCCTGTCTCTACAAAAATAAAATTAGCTGGTCATGGCAGTGCACACCTTTAATCCCAGCTACTCAGAAGTCTGAGGTGGGAGGATTGCTTGAGCCTGGAAGTCAAGCTACAGTGAGCTGTGATTGTGCCACTGCACTGCAGCCTAGGTTACAGACCAAGACTCTGTCTCAAAACAAAAGAGTTAATAATCTTTCTAGTTATATACCATTTTTAGGCCAGATGTGGTGGTTCATGCCTAAAATTGCAGCAGTTTGAGAGGCTGATGTGGGCAGATCATTTGAGTCCAGGAGTTCCAGACAGCCTGGGAAACATGACGAAATCCCATCTCTACAAAAAAAGGCAAAAATTAGCCAGGCACAGTGGTAATGCACCCGTAGTCCCAGCTACTCGGGAAGCTCGGGTGGGAGGATCACTTGAGCATGGGAGATAGAGGTTGTAGTGCGCCAAGATTGTGCCACTGCACTTCAGTGTGGATGACAGAGCGAGACCCTGTCTCAAAAAGAAAAAAAGCTACAAATTTTAAAGTGGTAATGATACTTGTTATATAGAAAAAAAGAGTAGGCCATGGGTGGTGGCTAATGCCCATAATCCCAGCACTTTGGGAGGCTGAGGCAGGTGGATCACTCAGGAGTTTGAGACCAGCCTGGCAAACATGTTGAAACCTTGTCTCTACTAAAAATACAAATATTAGCTGGATGCACCTCTTGTCCCAGCTACTGGGGAGGCTGAGGCACAAGAATTGCTTGAGTCAGGGAGTTGGAGGTTGCAATGAGCTGGGATTGTGCTACTGCCCTCCAGCCTGGGTGACAGAGAGAGAGCCTATCTCAAAAAAAAAAGAAACAAAGAAAAGAAAGATAGTGTAAAGGGCATCAATTCCCACTTTCTGTGTAAGCACTGACGGAGATTTTGGAAGATTGTTATTGCAAGACAATTTTTTGTTTCCCTTGAAAGCTAATTTACCTTAATAAATTATAAATATATGCTTTTTTTTTTTTCCTGAGACAGAGTCTCACTCTGCTGCCCAGGCTGGAGTGCAGTGGTGCAATCTTGGCTCACTGCAACCTCTGCCTCCTGAGTTCAAGCAATTCTCCTGTCTTAGCCTCCCAAGTAGCTGGGACTACAGACGCATGCCACCATGCCTGGCTAATTTTTTTGTATTTTTAGTAGAGATGGGGTTTCACTGTGTTATCCAGGATGGTCTGGATCTCTTAACCTCATGATCTGCCTGCCTCCCCCTCCCAAAGTGCTGAGATTACAGGTGTGAGCCACCGCACCCGGCCCTTTTTTCTTCTTTTTTTTTTTTTAATTTTTGTTTTTATTTATTTATTTATTTATTTTTAAGACGGGGTTTCACCATGTTGGTCAGGCTGGTCTTGAACTCCCGACCTCAGGTGATCCGCCCACCTTGGCCTCCAAAGTGCTTGGATTACAGGGTTTTTATCTTTTAAGACAAATTCTTGCTCTGTCACCCAGGCTGGAGTCCAGTGATGAGATCATGGCTCACTGCACCCTCAAACTCCTGGGCTCACGCAGTCCTCCCACCTCAGCCTCCTGAGTAGCTGGGACTACAGATATGTGCCACCACACCCAACTAATTTAAAAAAACTGGAGGGCCAATTGTGATGGCTCACGCCTGTAATCCCAGCACTTTGGAAGGCTGAGGCAGCTGGATCACAAGGTCAGGAGTTTGAGACTAGCCTGGCCAATATGGTGAAAACCTGTCTCTACTAACAATACAAAAAGTAACTGAGCGGGCCGGGCACGGTGGCTCACACCTGTAATCCTAGCACTTTGGGAGGCCGAGGTGGCTGGATCACCAGAGGTCAGGAGTTCAAGACCAGCCTGGCCATCATGGTGAAACCCCATCTTTGAAAAAAAACCAAAAAACTAGCTGAGCATGGTGGCAGGCCCCTATAGTACCAGCTACTTGGGAGGCTGAGGCAGGATAATTGCTTGAACCTGGCAGGTGGAGGTTGCAGTGAGCCAAGATCATGCCACTGTGCTCCAGTCTGGGTGACAGAGCGAGACTCTTGTCTCAAAAAAAGAAAAAAAAATTTTTTTTTTTTGTTAGAGGTGAGGGTCTAAAAAAAACATTACTGCCCCAGCTTGTCTTGGACTCCTAGGCTCAAGTGATCCTCTTGCCTCAGCCTCCCAACTGGCTTATGTTTGTTTTTTTTCTAAGCAATGCATTATAAGCTTTAGGAACTCTTCTTTTGAGAGAATTGTGATGATCCTGGCTTCTATTACACTTTTATGGGAGCAAATTATTTTATATTGATAAAAGTAATTTAAAAATATTTAATAAAATATTCAGTAAATAAGTATTTAATAACATTTTCTTTTTTTGAGATGGGGTTTCGCTCTTGTTGCCCAGGCTAGAGTGCAATGGTGCAGTGTCGGCTCACTGCAACCTCTGCCTCACGGGTTCAAGCGATTCTCCTGACTCCGCCTCCTGAGTAGCTGGGATTACAGGCATGTGCCACCATGCCCAGCTAACTTTGTATTTTTGGTAGAGATGGAGTTTCTCCATGTTGGTCAGGCTAGTCTCGAACTGCTGACCTCAGCTGATCTGCCTGCCTTGGCCTCCCAAAGTGCTGGGATTAAAGGCATGAGCCATCTTGGCCAGCTTAACAATGTTTAATAAACAGTAATTACTCTTTTAAACAGGTTGCGACAAAATTTATGAAATACTGTTTTATTGTCTTTATGTTTTTTATGTCCTCTCCTATTACCCTTAGCTTTTTCATTTGAAATAAAAAAAAAAAAAGGAGTCCTTTCTTATAAATTAAGGCAATGGAAAGTATTTTTTTCTGGGAAGCAATTATCGTTGTTGACATTGTACCTAGAAATATTGTTCATCTTATAGGAAGGGTACCGGAATGTGTATGTATCAGCCTGATATTTACTTTAACATGTATTTTACTTTTCCAGCAACAACCTTTAAGGCCCAATTTGGTAGAAACTAGTTGTCCTAACATACGGATGGATCCAAAATTATGCCCTGCTGATCCAGACTGGATTGCTTTTATACATAGCAATGATATTTGGATATCTAACATCGTAACCAGAGAAGAAAGGAGACTCACTTACGTGCACAATGGTAGGACATAATTCTTCAAATTTGCTTTTCTGGACAGTGTTTTTAAAGTATAATTTGCTGCTTGCATTTTGAAATCAGATCACCAAGCTGGGTGATCTTTATATCTGAAATTCAAGTCTTTAAAATCTTAAAAAACAGAGAAAAGTACAGAGGATAACTGGTATGTACCACATGTATCATACTGCTATTTTTTTTCTTTTTTTTCATACTGCTATTATACCACATGTGTAAAACATGTATAATACTGTTTTAATGTTCGTCTTCAAACAGTGAAACAAAAGAATCTCTGACATCTTTTGGCCTAGTAAGACTGCCAGAATTTTCCCAAAACTGTTCTTATTAAAGTAAAATTTTAGGCTGGGCATGGTGGCTCATGCGTGTAATCCTAGCACGCTGGGAGGCTGAAGCAGGTAGATTGTTTGAGCCCAGAAGTTCAAGACCAGCCTGGACAACATGGTGAAACCCCGTTTTGACAAAAAATACAAAAAGTTAACTGAGCATAGTGGTGTATGTAGTCTCAACTACCTGGTGGACTAAGGTGGTAGGGTCACCTGAGTCCAGGAGGTCAAGGCTATTGTGAGCCATGATTGCAGCACTGCACTCCAGCTTGGTGACACGGTAAGACTGTCCCAAAATTAAATAAATAAATTTTTAAAAATTAGTTTTGTTTTTGAGAAACAGAAAAACCAATTACACACTCAAAGAAACTACTTGAGGCTGAGTGTGATGGCTCATACCTGTACTCCCAGCACTTTGGGAGGCCAAGGCAAGTGGATCACCTGAGGTCAGGAGTTCGAGACCAGCCTGGCCAACATGGTGAAACCCTGTCTCTACTAAAAATACAAAAATTAGCCTGGCATGCTGGTGCACGCCTGTAATCTCAGCTACTAGGGAGGCTGAGGTGGGAGAATCACTTGAACCTGGGAAGTGCAGGTTGCAGTGAGCTGAGATTGTGCCACTACACTCTTCAGCAACAGAGACCCTGTCTCAAAAAAAAAAAAAAAAAAATACTTGAGACTGAGGCAGGTAGATCACTTGAGCCTGGGCAATATAGTAAGAGCTTGGGCAATGTAGTAAGACCTTGTCTCTACCAAAAAAAAAAAAAAATTAGCTGCATGTGGTGGCACATGCCTGTAGTCCCAACTACTCGGGAGACTGAGGTAGGAGGATCACTTGAGTCTAGGAGGTTGAGGCTAAAGTGGGACATGATTGCACCAGTGCACTCCAGCTTGGGTGACAGAGCAAGACCCCATCTCAAAAAAAAAATTTATCTTTCAGTTTTAGAGTGTCTACTTAGTTATTGTCATCAAAGGAGAAATAGAACTTTGTAGAACTATATATATTGTGGGAATATTTAATTAGGTTTTATTGAAGTGGCTGTAATAATACTAAGCACTATTCAAAGCACAGAAAGATGTGGATGGTTTCCTCTAAAGGTTTCATACAAATGAAAGATGGGAAATAGTGAATTGCTTTTTCTTTGAACAAGTGAAACAGAGTTTAAGATCAAGCATCACAGGCCAGGTGGAGTAGCTGACACCTGTAATTCCAGCACTTTGGGAGGCCAAGGCGGGTGGATCACGAGGTCAAGAGATTGAGACCATCCTGGCCAACATGGTGAAACCCTGTCTGTACTAAAAAAAAAAAAATACAAAAATTAGCTGGGCATGGTGGCACGTACCTGTGGTCCCAGCTACTTGAGAGGCTGAGGCAGAAGAATCGCTTGAACCCTAGAGGCCGAGGTTGCAGTGAGCCAAGATTGCACCACTGCACTGCCTGGCAACAGAGCAAGACTCCATCTCAAAAAAAAAACAACAAAAAAAAGATTAAGCACTACAATGAAGATGATGACTGAAGATTCTTTTGTTGAATTTTTGTTTAATCTAATGTTCACAAAGCTGATTTACTGTCATCTTCCTTGATCATTATCCCCTCATCATCATCATTCAGTCATTAGTTAAAATTAATTACAGACATTATTTGAAAGTCACTGTTAACAGATATGTTACAGGTAGGAAAACAAAATGACCCAGATTCCACTCTCAAGTTTGTTTGTTTTTTGCAACAGTCTCGCCTTGTTGCCCAGGCTGGAGTGTAGTGGTTAGAGCTCAGCTCTCTGTAACCTCCACCTCCTGGGTTCAAGTGGTGATTCTCATCCCTCAGCATCCTGAGTAGCTGGGATTACAGGTTCGAGCCACAACATACGGTTAATTTTTTTTTTTTTTTTTTTTTTTGAGTCTCACTGTTGCCTAGGCTAGATTGTAATGGCATGGTCTCGGCTCACTGCAGCCTCTGCCTCCTGGGTTCGAGCAACTCTCCTACCCCAGCCTCCCAAGTACCTGGGATTACAGGATCACACCACCACTCCTGGCTAATTTTTGTATTTTTAGTAGAGACAGGGTTTCACCATGTTGACCAGGCTGGTGTTAAACTCCTGACCTCAAGTGATCCGCCCACCTCAGCCTTTCAAAGTGCTGAGAACAGGCGTTAGCCATGGTGCCTAGCCAAACATAGGGGTTTATAAGAGCACCAATGTGGGACAGTGGTCAGGGAGGGATTCCCAGAAAAGATGACACCTAAACTGATGCTAAGTAATGTCTATATATTATCCAGTACACTTCTGACAAGGGGACTACATGAGAAAGGTCTGGATGCAAAAGACATCATGGTATATGTGAGGAGTTAGAAGTAGTGCGAATGTCCTGAAGCATAAGATCTGAGTCAAGAAGACAAAATACTGGCAGATGAGGGCCAGGACAAGGGTAGACTATATCTTCTGTAAATGAATGTGGACTTTATCATGATGTGAGGGTCCATCGAAAAGTTTTTTTCTTTTTTTTTGTTGTTGTTGAGACGAGTTTCGCTCTTGTTACCCAGGCTGGAGTGCAATGGCACGATCTCGGCTCACCACAACCTCTGCCTCCTGGGTTCAGGCAATTCTCCTGCCTCAGCCTCCTGAGTAGCTGGGATTACAGGCACGCGCCACCATGCCCAGCTAATTTTTTGTATTTTTAGTAGAGACAAGGTTTCACCATGTTGACCAGGATGGTCTTGATCTCTTGACCTTGGGATCCACCCGCCTCGGCCTCCCAAAGTGCTGGGATTACAGGCTTGAGCCACCGCGCCCGGCCCCATCGAAAAGTTTTAACAGTTGAGTGATGTGATCATAATCATCATATTGTTGATAAGTTGTTCTGGATACTTTGTGGAAGTTAAATTTGAGAAGCATGGTTAGAGACAGGGACACCAAAGATTGACTGTAGCAGTTATCCAAGTTATATGGCCTAAAACTAGAGCATAGGCTAGAGAAAACGGGATGGAGCAGGAAAAGTCTTCAGTTAAAAGTACAGGTTTTGGTGTTTAATGGGTCTCCCTTTGAAGTCAGGAAATCAGAACAGCTATTCTACTACCAATAGCAATATAAGGGTTAGGTTGGTAGTTAGTAAATCTATTTTGGAAATCCTAGCCATTTTTTCATGCTTTTTAAATTTTAATTAAAAAATTTTTTTTGAGACAGGGTCTCCTGTTGGCTCACTGCAGTCTTGACCTCCAGGGCTCCAGAAATCCTCCTACCTCAGCCCCACCAAGTAGCTGGGACTACAGGTGTGTGCCACCATGCCTGCCTAATTTTTAATTTTTTTGTAGAGACAGGATCTTATGCTGCCAAGGCTGGTCTTGAACTCCTGGGTTCAAGTGATTCTCCCACCTCGGGCTCCCAAAGTGCTGGGATTACAGGAATGAGCCACCACACCCAGCCCGTTTTTTCACGCTTTCAGCAAACATTGGACACTTGCTATGTACCAGTTATTGTACTGGAGGCTGAGACTGCAAAGCTCTGATATAACTGTCAGAGTAAAGGCATTTTTTTTAGTATTTTTTTCTTGTGTAAAATGGTTTTCCACACAGGATTTGAAAAAATTGGCAGAATTAAAAATGAAAAGTACTGGAATCCTGCAGGATGTTATACTAGTATTTTTATTCTTTATCATATATGTAGGTATGTGGTGTATTTTTGGGATTAGTAGAGTAGCTAAGAATACAGGTACACCCTGGAGAAGTGGATCATGTGTATAATCTCAGCACTTTGGGAGGCCAAGCTGGGAAGATTACTTGAACCCAGGAGTTTGAGACTGGCCTGGGCAACGTAGGGAGATCCTGTCTCTACAAGAAAATTAAAAATAATAAAAATGAGCCAGGCGTGGTGTCACATGCCTGTTTTTCAGCTACTCGGGGAGCTGAGGTGGGAGGATCACTTGAGCCTGGGAAGTCGAGTTCAATTGTACCACTGCACTCCAGCCTTGGTGGCAAATTAAAGCAAGAAACCCTGTCTCTAAAAAAAAAAGATAAAGAATATAGAACCGGTTTGAATTTCAGGTCTACCATTTATTAACTGTGTGGCATTGAACAGGTTATTAAACCCATCTCTTAGTTTCTGCATCTATAGAAACAGATGTTAATAGCATATCAACATACAGTTGTTATGAGGCTTTAATGAGTTAGTATCTATCTAGTATTTAGGATAGTGCCTGAAACATACAAGTGTTGTGTAAGTATGTGCTTAGATATAAAGTACGTAGGGAGTGAACGTCATCAGCTTACTCACAGTAGGTTTCTAAGGGAAAGTCCACTTTAGATGGGTTTGGTCAGTCAGTATGTACATGTGTTTATTCTTTGTCTGGTGACAGAGAAATGTAAAAGTAATAGAGGTTCTGCTCTCAAATGACTTACAGAGAGGATGAGATGATGCTATTTATTCATTTAATAAATAACTTAATAATGGAAGTCTGTAATAAAAACTAGGAAGATACAAATGAGAGTTATTTATCTTCATAGTCTTGGTTCTATCATTAATTCCAAAATTTAAAACACTTTGAAAACTAGCTTAGTTTTCTTTTTTTTTTAACACTCCAGAGGTCTTTTATTTATTTATTTTTTTAACACCTATTATGCCATGAATTCATAGGGAATAGGTTCCAGCAGCTCAGTCTCCTTCCCATTGGTTCTCACAAAGTGTGCTTCTCTGGGTGGAGCAGGCTGGCGCTTCAGTTGGACCCAGGTACCTTTCTCTTCGGCTTCTTTCTTTTTCTGATCATTTTCCTTCACGTGTTTTAGGAAGCTATCTCCACTCTTAGAGTGCTTGATGTGCTCAGTACGCACATTAATTCTCTTGGCAAGGATCTTGCCCTTAACTTGTTTGTTTACAACAATGCCAACAGCATGCTGGCTAACATTGTAGACCCTTCCAGTTTTGCCATGATAACATTTGTGGGGCATTCCTTTTTGAACAGTATCCATTCCCTTGATGTCTACAATATCACCTTTCTTATAGATTCGCATATACGTGGCCAAAGGAACAACTCCATGTTTTCTAAAAGGCCTAGAGAACATGTATCGAGTACCTCTCCTCTTTCCCTTTGTGTTCGTCATTTTGGCGAATTACTCTGCGACCACAAGGTAGCGGTTCAAGTCTGTGAAACGCTTAGCGCCCGGGAGCCACGCACAGGCCCTACCTGGAAGATCTGAAAACTAGCTTAGTTTTCATTAGGTTGTTACTCAAACTCATTTGGCAGTAACATCTGACCCGAAGTGACCTGAAGATATTTATAAACTTAATATGCTCACCTACTTAGTGTACCTGTTCATAAGTTTGCTGCAGGAATATTGGTGTATTTGATTACAAGGTATTTGGTAACCCTACTGGAGATACTACATAATGTATTATGGTGTCTGTGCAATATATGATAAATCTCCCAAATTCTGAATTCTAAATACTTCTAGACTCAAACTGTTTGGCTAAAAAAAAAAATCATTGATTTGTACTGTACATTATGTCAGACCATATAGAAAATATAGATAAGCAAAAATAATAAAACTTGTGTATAAAATTAAAATCAGGCCAGATGCTGGTTTATACCTGTAATCCTAGCACTTTGGGAGGCCAAAGTGAGAGGATTACTTGAGTCCAGGGGTTTGAGACCAGCCTGGGCAACATAATGAGACCGCATCTCTACAAAATTTTTTTTTAATTAGGTGGGCTTAGTGACACATACCTGTGTCCCAGCTACTCTGGAGACTGAGACAAGAGGATTGCTTGAGCCTAGCAGGTCAAGGCTGCAGTGACCCAAGGTCTCACCCTTGCAGTCTACCTTGGGTGACAGAGTGAGACCCTGTCTCAAAAATAAAATAAAAATTGGGGCCGGGCACGGTGGCTCAAGCCTGTAATCCCAGCACTTTGGGAGGCCGAGGCGGGTGGATCACGAGGTCGAGAGTTCGAGACCATCCTGGTCGACATGGTGAAACCCCGTCTCTACTAAAAATACAAAAAATCAGCTGGGCATGGTGGCGTGTGCCTGTAATCCCAGCTGCTCGGGAGGCTGAGGCAGGAGAATTGCCTGAACCCAGGAGGCGGAGGTTGCGGTGAGCCGAGATCGTGCCATTGCACTCCAGCCTGGGTAACAAGAGCGAAACTCCGTCTCAAAAAAAAATAAATAAATAAAATAAAATAAAATAAAATAAAATAAAAATTAGAGTTACTATGAGATATTATTACATGCCTACTAGACTGGCTAAAGTAAGAAATACTGAGAACACCAAATGTTGGAGAAGACCTTTATACCTTGCTAGTAAGAGTATAAAATAATAGAAATACTTTGGCACTTTCTTCTGAAGTTAAACATACAATTACTGCACTAACCAGCCATACCACTCATAGTTATTTACTTAAGAGAAACAAAAACACATGTCCACAAAAATTCCTTTTTTTTTTTTGAGACATGGTCTCACTCTGTCACCCAGGCTGGAAGTGTGGTGGCATGATCTCGGCTCACTGCATCCTCCTTGTGAACTCAAGTGATTCTCCTACCTCAGCTTCCTAAGTACTTGGGACCATAGGTGCCTGCCACCACACCTGGCCAATTTTCTATTTTTTGTAGAGATGGGGTTTTACTATGTTGCTGAGGCTGGTCTTGAACTCCTGAGCTCAAGCAACCCACCCTCCTTGGCCTCCCAAAGTGTTGGGATTACAGGTGTGAGCCACCATGCCTGGCCCACAAAAATTTGTCTACAATAATGTTCATAGCATCTTTATTCACAATAGCTAGAAACTGGATATAGGCAAGATATCCGTTAACAGATGTAAAAAAACTGTGATATACAATGGAATACAACTCAGCAGTAAACAGGAATTAATACTGACACATGTAACAATATTGATGAAACTCAAAAGAAGCCAAACACTGGTATATACATACTGTATGATTTCATTTACGTGAAATTATAAAATATGCAAACCTAACCTCAGGTGATAGAAATCAGATCATTGATTGTTTCTGGATTGGGACTCCTCCTTGACTCAGAAGGAGCATGAGAAAACATTCTTGAGTATTCTAAGTGTTGTAAGTTGTGATGGGGTCTGGTCATACAAGTGTATGTATTTTTCAGAAGTAAACAGTACACTTAAGAATTTGTAAATTGTAGGCTGGGCGTGGTGGCTCAAGCCTGTAATCCCAGCACTTTGGGAGGCCGAGGCAGGTGGATCACGAGGTCAAGAGATCGAGACCATCCTGGTCAACATGGTGAAACCCCATCTCTACTAAAAATACAAAAAATTAGCTGGGCATGGTGGCACATGCCTGTAATCCCAGCTACTTAGGAGGCTGAGGCAGGAGAATTGCCTGAACCCAGGAGGCGGAGGTTGCGGTGAGCCGAGATGGCGCCATTGCACTCCAGCCTGGGTAACAAGAGCAAAACTCCGTCTCCAAAAAAAAAAAAGAATTTGTAAATTATAAAGCAATTTTTAATAACCCTCAAAAATCTCACTGCTTGGACATAACCATATTTCAGTTTATATCAGCATTTTTTAAAATGTATTTATTTTTATAACATTTTTATAAATGGAATCACAGTGTGAATACTATTCAGCAATCTTGATTTATTTTGTGCAAGTATATTGTAAACATTTCCTCATGACACAAAATCTTGTGTAATTATGGCTTTGTGGTTTTCTTTAAAACAAGAGTCTCCTTCAGACTATTTGCTGGAAACCTAAGTGTAAAATGGATGAAAGCTGAGCTGCTCCAACTGAATGAGATGAAAGAGGAATGGTTGAATTATATGAACTATAAGATTGATTCTAAATCCAAGGTGTACTTCTCTGTGTAGGAGAGTTACAAGTGTCCTCTATACTGTGCTCCTTTATATGTAATCTTTTTTTCCTTGATCCTAGCTAATTGAGAAAATACCTTTTTTTTGGAGATGGAGTTTCATTCTTGTTTCCTAGGCTGGAGTGCAATGGCGCAATCTTGGCTCACTGCAACCTCCACCTCTCAGGTTCAAGTGATTCTGCTGCCTCAGCATCCCGAGTGACTGGGATTACAGGCATGCACCACCACGCCTGGCTAATTTTGTATTTTTGGGAGAGACGGGGTTTATCCATGTTGATTTGGCTGGTCTTGAACTCCCGACCTCAGGTGATCTGCCCACTTGGCCCCTCAAAGTGCTAGGATTGCAGGCTTGAGCCACCATGCCCGGCATAATAACATTTATTTGAAGCATGTACTGTGGTCCCGGCTTTGTTCTAAGTGATTAATGTGAATTAATTAATTTAATCTTCATATCAGCCTCACATGGTAGCCTCTTATTCTCATTTACAAATGGGATACTGCAGTGGAATGAGATTGGATGATTTGCCCAAAGTCAGACAGTACGTAAATGATGGACCCAGATTTGAACTCAGTCTGTTTAGCTCCACAGTTGGCCACTGTACTCTAGTCACCTTTCCAAATAAACTGAATTCTTTTGCTTTGTACCTATGAAAAGATAGCTTTCAGGCCGGGCGCGGTGACTCAAGCCTGTAATCCCAGCCCTTTGGGAGGCCGAGGCGGGTGGATCACGAGGTCAAGAGATCGAGACCATCCTGGTCAACATGGTGAAACCCCGTCTCTACTAATGGTGCAAAAAATTAGCTGAGCATGGTGGCGCGTGCCTGTAATCCCAGCTACTCCGGAGGCTGAGGCAGGAGAATTGCCTGAACCCAGGAGGCGGAGGTTGCGGTGAGCCGAGATCGCGCCATTGCACTCCAGCCTGGGTAACAAGAGTGAAACTCCGTCTCAAAAAAAAAAAAAAAAGATAGCTTTCTGTGACAGTTTTGCCTTTTATGTTTGTCTAGAACTAGCCAACATGGAAGAAGATGCCAGATCAGCTGGAGTTGCTACCTTTGTTCTCCAAGAAGAATTTGATAGATATTCTGGCTATTGGTGGTGTCCAAAAACTGAGACAAGTAAGGAGGTTCAAAATAATGTATTATGGGTCAGTTAAAGTATTGTAAGATTCAGCTGTCAATCAGTTAAGTGCACAGATTCTAAATCTTGGATAATAGATTCCAAAGTGGATAATAGATTCCAAAGTAAATGACGATTGGTTCATGTCAGTAGTTATTTAGAATATGCAGATCATATTTCATCAGAATGTAGTAAAAACAATTGTATTGTGGTTTAATACCTCAGGCCCCTCAATTCTCTTTGTCAGTTTTTCTCTTAGAGGCTGATCTTGGTAGTGCTGACAGCATTGGTGGCAAAATGAAAAATACCACACCTAACATGTTGCTATAAAAATGTATGATTGACTAGAGAGTCTGGTAAACAGATGACCAAATCATCGTATGAATGGATAGGATAAAAGGGAACAAATTCCTTCTTTTTTGGGGGCTGAATTCACAAGTATCTCACTCTGAGAAACAGTTCACTAAAGCATAGCTTTCAAGCTTTTTTACCGTGATCCAGTTAGAAGTGTATTTATAATTGTGGCCTAATACATTGTACTTAAGCTGTATAGATAAAACTGAAAACAAATTTCAAGAAGCAATATTTATTATTAGGTGTAATGCACCCTGATAATGTTATATTACTATTATTTTTTGTTTTTGTTTTTGTTTTCTTTGTTGAGACTGGGTCTGTTGCCCAGGCTGAAGTGCAGTGGTGCAATCTCAGCCCACTGCAAATTCTGCCTGCTGGGCTCAAGCAATCCTCCTATCTCAGCCTCCCAAATAGCTGGGACTACAGGTGTGAGCCACACCCAGCTAATTTTTGTATTTTTTTGTAGAAATGGGGTATTGCCATGTTGCCCAGGGTGTGGTTTGTGTGTTACATTTTTTTAAATGCTGTTTATGACCCATTAATAGATTTTATGACCTACTCATGGTTTGGAGCTAGCAGTCCTGAATGCTTCTCTCAGAGACCATGAAAAATACTTATTTTTAAGCCATGTCTTGGATTTGGACATTTTATTATAAGATATGAAATGTTTTGTTGTGTTTGTTAGAACACGATTTGACACAAATAGAGAAACTATTCAAAACAACTGAACTGTATTTAAGTAGGATTTATGGTTGTTTTTGTTTTTTTTTTTTGAGACGGAGTTTCGCTCTTGTTACCCAGGCTGGAGTGCAATGGCATGATCTCGGCTCACCGCAACCTCCACCTCCTGGGTTCAGGCAATTCTCCTGCCTCAGCCTCCTGAGTAGCTGGGATTACAGGCACGTGCCACCATGCCCAGCTAATTTTTTGTATTTTTTTTTGTTTTTTTTTTTTGAGACGGAGTTTCGCTCTTGTTACCCAGGCTGGAGTGCAATGGCGCGATCTCGGCTCACCGCAACCTCCGCCTCCTGGGTTCAGGCAATTCTCCTGCCTCAGCCTCCTGAGTAGCTGGGATTACAGGCACGCACCACCACGCCCGCTAGTTTTTTGTATTTTTTTTAGTAGAGACGGGGTTTCACCATGTTGACCAGGATGGTCTTGATCTCTCGACCTCGTTATCCACCCGCCTCGGCCTCCCAAAATGCTGGGATTACAGGCTTGAGCCACCGTGCCCGGCGTGTGCATTTATGTTTTTAATAGGAAATACTGTAAATGTAATTAAATAATTCATTTTCAACAAAGAATGCATTTTATGGTATGCAAAAACCAAGTCCTTCAAAAATGTTTTTCCCTGTTTTAGAAGTACATATACATATCATCTCTAGTTTTTCTCCCTCCAAAAGAAGTGGCTTAGCAGTAACTCATCTTGCTACTACAAAGACTAATGATATTTTCCTCCAAAAAAGCAGCATATTTTATACATAAATTCTTCACTGTGAGAGGGAATGATTGGTTATGATTACTCTCTGGAAATAATTCTTCTAAATTTTCAATATCTAAATTTCTTTTAAGCTCCCAGTGGTGGTAAAATTCTTAGAATTCTATATGAAGAAAATGATGAATCTGAGGTGGAAATTATTCATGTTACATCCCCTATGTTGGAAACAAGGAGGGCAGATTCATTCCGTTATCCTAAAACAGGTACTGTACTCCACTGGCATTTATATTTGGTCATTTCCTTTTTCCAAATAATATTCTTTCTGGAATCATCCAAAGGTATAGTCAACAGCATTTGTCACTTCCAGCCTTATTTTTGGTGGGTTGTTCACCAGGTATCACAGAAATAGATTTTGAATTAAAGGGTGATCTTTTTTCATTCTTTGCAAAGGTAGGGATGTCCACACAATTGGTTTCTTTAAGGAATGAATTACAGGGTATCTTTGCACTGGGCATGGTAGCTTACGACTGTAATCCTAGCACTTTGGGAAGCCAATGTGGGTGGATCACCTGAGGTCAGGAGTTTGAAACCGGCCTGACCAACATGGTGAAATCCCATCTTTACTAAAAATACAAAATTAGCCAGGCGTGTTGGTGTGTGCCTGTAATCCCAGCTACTTGGGAGGCTGAGGCAGGAGAATTGCTTGCTTGAACCTGGGAGGTGGAGGTTGCATTGAGTTGAGATCATGCCATTCCACTCAGGCAACGAGAGCCAAACTCTGTGTCCAAAAAAAAAAAAAAAAAAAAAAAAACGGCCGGGCGCGGTGGCTCAAGCCTGTAATCCCAGCACTTTGGGAGGCTGAGGCGAGTGGATCACAAGGTCAAGAGATCGAGACCATCCTGGTCAACATGGTGAAACCCCGTCTCTACTAAAAATACAAAAAAAAAAAAAATTAGCTGGGCATGGTGGCACGTGCCTGTAATCCCAGCTACTCAGGAGGCTGAGGCAGGAGAATTGCCTGAACCCAGGAGGCGGAGGTTGCGGTGAGCCGAGATCGCGCCATTGCACTCCAGCCTGGGTAACAAGAGCGAAACTCCGTCTCAAAAAAAAAGTGTCTTTGCTAGCAAATATTTTTAAGTGATATTGTTCATAATAAGTATTTTTTTTTTCATTTTTCCTCTTACAGCATTTCAGTTGTAAAAATAATATGTAATTCCACTTTATTTCATGCTGGCTTTTGTTTTTCAGCCCCCCTTTTTTTTCGTTTTTGTTTTTTTTTGAGATAGAGTTTAGCTGTTTTGCCCAGGCTGGAGTTCAGTGGCTCAATCTTGGCTTACTGCAACCTCCGCCTCCTGGATTTAAGCGATTTCTCCTTCCTCAGCCTCCCAAGTAGCTGGGATTACAGACATGCACCACCAGGCCCAGCTAATTTTGTATTTTTAGTAGAAACGGTATTTCTCCATGTTGGTCAGGCTAGTCTGGAACTCCCGACCTCAGGTGATCTGCCTGCCTTGGCTTCCTAAAGTGTTGCAATTACAGGCGTGAGCCACCGCGCCCAGCCTTTTCATTCTTTTAAAATTGTATTCCAATAGTGTTTGGGGAACAAATGGGTTTTGGTTACATGGATAAGTTCTTTAGTGGTGATTTCTGAGATTTCGGTGCACCCATCACCCAAGCAATGTACACTGTACCCAATGTGTAGTCTTTTATCCCTCACCCACTCCTACCCTTCCTCCAGAGTCCCCAAAGTCCATTATATCATTCTTATGCCTTTGCATCCTCACAGCTTAGCGCCCACTTATAAGTGAGAATATTAATATTTGGTTTTCCATTCTTCAGTTACTTCACTTAGAATAATGGTCCCCAACTCCCTCCAGGTTGCTGTGAATGACATTATTTTGTTCCTTTTTGTGGTTGAGTAGTATTCCATGCTGTATATATACTACATTTTTTAAATCCACTTGTTGGTTGATGGACAAGCCCTTTATTTTATTTTATTTTTTGAAACGGAATCTTGCTCTGTTGCCCAGGCTAGTGTGCAATGGCATGGTCTCAGATCACTGCACCCTCTGCCTCCAGGGTTAAACGATTCTCCTGCCTCAGTGTCCCGAGTAGCTGGGGATTACAGGAACCCACCACCATGCCCAGCTAATTTTTTTTTATTTTAGTGGGGAAAGGGTTTCACCATGTTCGCCAGAATGATCTCGATCTCTTGACCTCATGTTCTGCTCACTTTGGCCTCCCAAAATGCTGAGATTACAGGTGTAAGCCACTGTGCCTGGCCTTTTTATTTTCTTTTTTTTTTTAAGACAGTGTCTTAGGCCGGGCGCGGTGGCTCAAGCCTGTAATCCCAGCACTTTGGGAGGCCGAGGCGGGTGGATCACGAGGTCGAGAGATCAAGACCATCCTGGTCAACATGGTGAAACCCCGTCTCTACTAAAAATACAAAAAATTAGCTGGGCAGGGTGGCGCGTGCCTGTAATCCCAGCTACTCAGGAGGCTGAGGCAGGAGAATTGCCTGAACCCAGGAGGCGGAGGTTGCGTTGAGCCGAGATGGCGCCATTGCACTCCAGCCTGGGTAACAAGAGTGAAACTCCGTCTCAAAAAAAAAAAAAACAAAAAAACAAAAACAGTGTCTTGCTCTGTCTTCCCAGCTGGAGTGCAGTGGCGTGATCTCAGCTCACTGCAGCCTCCACCTCCTAGGCTCAAGTGATTCTCCTGCCTCAGCCTTCCAAGTAGCTGGGATTACAGGTGCCAACCACCATGCCCAGATAATTTTTATTTTTTATTTATTTATTTATTTATTTTTTTGAGACGACGTTTCGCTCTTGTTACCCAGGCTGGAGTGCAATGGCGCCATCTCGGCTCACCGCAACCTCCGCCTCCTGGGTTCAGGCAGTTCTCCTGTCTCAGCCTCCTGAGTAGCTGGGATTACAGGCATGTGCCACCATGCCCAGCTAATTTTTTTGTATTTTTAGTAGAGACCCAGGGTTTCACCATGTTGACCAGGTTGGTCTTGATCTCTTGACCTTGTGATCCACCTGCCTCAGCCTCCCAAAGTGCTGGGATTACAGGCTTGAGCCACCGCGCCCAACAATTTTTATATTTTTAATAGATACAGTGTTTTACCATGTTGGTCAGGCTGGTCTCGAACTCCTGATCTCAAGGGATCCACCCACCTTGGCCTCCCAAAGTGCTGAGATTACAGGCAGGAACCACTGCACCCAACTGAGCCCCACCCATCCTTTTTTTCTTTCTTTTTTTTTTTTTTTGAGATGGAGTCTTGCCTGTCACCTGGGCTGGAGTGCAATGGCACAACCTCGACTCACTGCAGCCTCTGCCTCCTGGGTTCGAGTGATTCTCCTGCCTCAGCCTCCCGAGTAGCTGGGATTACAGGTCCCCGACACCAGGCCCAGCTAATTTTTTGTATTTTTAGTAGAGGCAGGGTTTCACTATGTTGGCCAGGGTGGTCTTGAACTCCTGACCTTGTGATCCACTCACCTCGGCCTCCCAAAGTGCTGAGATTACAGGTGTGAGTCACTGTGCCTGGCCGCTTTATTTTTTGATATTCAAAAAGTATAAATTTGAAATGGGGCTCTGAGATTCTTGTGCAGTAAAGCCCTGACCATCTACATTATTCTTCTATTTTTCTTGAGACAGAATCCCTCTCTGTTGTCAAGACTGGAATGCAGTGGTGTGATTTTGGCTCACTGTACCTATACCTTCTAGGCTCAGGCCATCCTCCCACCTCTGCCTCCTGAGTAGCTAGACCAGCCTGATGGAGTGTGTAGCACTGCACCTGGCTATATTTTGTATTTTTTTGTAGAGATGGGGTTTTACCATGTTGACCATGCTGATCTCGAATTCCTGAGCTCAAGTAATCTGCCTGCCTCGGCCTCCCAAAGTGCTGATATTAAAGGCATGAGGCACCATATTCTTAACTGAAGTGTAGAGAATTGATCTGGTAAAATTAATTTAAGTAATTTCAGATAAGTGTTGCTATTCATCTATGTCTCTTTTTTTCTTTTCTGTTTTGTTTTTTTTTTTTTGAGACAGTTTCGCTCTTGTTGCCCAGGCTGGAGTGCAATAGCACAGTCTCAGCTCACTGCAACCTCTGCCTCCCAGGTTCAAGTGATTTTCCTGCCTCAACCTCCCAAGTAGCTGGGATTACAGGCGTACACTACCGCGCCTGGCTGATTTTTGTATTATTAGTAGAGGTGGAGTTTCACCATGTTGGCCAGGGTGGTCTCAAACTCCTGACCTCAGATGATCCGCCCACCTCAACCTCCCAAAATGCTGGGATTATAGGCAGGAGCCACCACTTAAGTAAAATGTAAAGAGAATTGATCTGGCAAAATTAATTTGAGTAATTTTGGATAAACATTACTGTTATTTATGTCTCTTTCTAAAGGTACAGCAAATCCTAAGGTCACTTTTAAGATGTCAGAAATAATGATTGATGCTGAAGGAAGGGTGAGTATAAAACGTTGAGTTGACCTTCTGTGTCATTTGACTAATCTATTCAGTCCGGTTGGGTTCTTTGATATGCTTTCTTATTTTTGAACTTGTTGAACTTGCTGAGATATCTGTGGATCATGATTTTAGATTGACCTAATTTTTTACTTGGAAATCATCCTACTGGTTGGTTCATAAGATGGGAATATGGGATATGCATATTAACCACTCCTTTCCAAGTTTGCCTTTATTCTCCAGATTAAAAAAAAAAAAAAAAAAAAAAAAGGTAGTTATTGACTGGTGAGTTACCTTCTGTGTTGGGTAGATGTCTGTGGTACATTAAATATCCCACAGTTCACGTGTACTTGTACTATTGCTTTCCATTTTGACAGCCAAATGCTTATAAGCTACACGTACACAACTAGCTAAAAAGTAGTCTTCTCTTCTAGACTTTTTAAAAACAGCTTTACTTAGATATAACTGACATACAGTATGATTTATTTAAAGTTTAAAATTTAGTGGCCATTGGTATATTCAATTTGCAACCCTCACCACAGTCAGTTTTAGAATATTGTTCTTACCTCAAAAAGATACTCCATACCCCTGAGCCATCATCCCCCAACCTGCTCATATCCCCCAGCACTAGGCAACCTTTTTCTTTTTTAAGATGTGTTCTTGCACCGTTGCCATTAAGATGGCTTGATCTCAGCTCACTGTAACCGCCACCTCCCAAGTTCATGTGATTCTCTTGCCTCACGCTCCTGAGTAGCTGGGATTACAGGTGCTCAATACCATGCCCAGCTAATTTTTTTGTATTTTTAGTAGAGATGGGGTTTCACTATGTTGGCCAGACTGGTCTCGAACTCCTTACCTCATGATCTGCCCGCCTTGGCCTCCCAAAGTGCTGGGATTACAGGCATGAGCCACCATGTCTGGCCTAGGCAACCATTAATGTACTTTCTGTCTCTATAATTTGCTTGTGCTGGACATTTCAAATAAATGGAGTCATAAAATACATAGTTTGGTCTCCTTAGATTGTTTTCAAGGTCTATCCATATTGTACCATGTATCAGTACTTCATTTATTTTTATTAACGATAATACCTTTATATGGATATACCACATTTTATTTATCAGTTGATGAACATTTTGGTTGTTTCCATTTTATGCCTGTGATGAATAATACTGCCATGAAGATGTGTGTACAAGTTTTTGTGTGGGCTGTGGGCTTATGTCTTCATTTCCCTGAAGTATATACCCACAAGTAGGATTGTTGAGTCATTTGATGACTATTTTTAACATTTTGTAGACCTGCTAAAATGTTTTCCAAAGTGACTGCACTATTTTATTTTATTTTTTAAAGGTCTCCAGCCTGACTAATATGGTGAAACCCCGTCTCTACTAAAAATACAAAAATTAGCCAGGTGTGGTGACACATGCCTGTAGTCCCAGCTACTCAAGAGGCTGAGGCAGGAGAATCGATTCAAACCAGGAGTCGGAGGTTGCAGTGAGCTGAGATCATGCCACTGCACTCCAGCCTGGGCAACAGAGTAAGACTGTCTTAAAAAAAAAAAAAAAAAAAAAAAAGAAAGAAGTAGACTTTAAGTTGTGTTAAAAGTGCTTAGAACTGTTTAGACACAAAAAGTAAGTACCAGTATAAGTAACCCAGAATTTACTCCTGGTTTTACTGTATCCTTTGTGCTTTTTTAATACCTAAGTCTGAAAATATGTTCTGCTTTTTAAATAATTGTTGAATTAGACTAGTAAGCTAATTATTTATCTAAATCTTCTATAACTAGATTTTTTTTCTTTTTTAATAGATTATAGATGTCATAGATAAGGAACTAATTCAACCTTTTGAGATTCTGTTTGAAGGAGTTGAATATATTGCCAGAGCTGGATGGACTCCTGAGGGAAAATAGTGCGTATGTTAAATTGTTACTTCTTTACAACTAATTTAGGATCCAGAGCTTTGGAATATTTGTGCTATTAGGTTTGCTTTATAGTTGGAGATGCCTTCACATGTAAATTTGCAGTACAGTTATTACTGCACAAGGCATTTTTCTTGAACTAAGTGGATTTGTGCATTTGTAATCCTATAAGCTTAGGTACACCACAGTTTAATTCTGTCTTTATAGTCAGCCAGTTACGGTTCATGATGTTAGTTGGGATTAAATTGTATGACTTTAAGGCTTACATATAAATGTATATATTTTTTAATTATATAATTATAGAGCTTCATGTGAGGATGATTACGAATAAATAGTTTCTGTGTCTAATGTAGACAACAGGAATTTCACAAGACTGGCATTTGTTGACATTGATACTAAAGGGAGAAAACTTTGTTTTGAGTCAGGGTCTTGCTCTGTCACCCAGGCTGGATGTAGTGATGCAATCATGGCTCACTGCAGCCTCAACCTCTTGGCTAAAGCTATCCTCCCACTTCAGCCTCCTGAGTAGCTGGGACTACAGGGAAATGCCACCATGGCCAGCTAATTTTTAAATTTTTCTGTTGAGATGAAGTCCCACTGTGTTGCCAGGTTGATCTCAAACTCCTGGGCTCAAGTGATCCTCCTGTCTCGGCCTTCCAAAGTGTTGAGATTACAGGCATGAACCACTGCACCTGGCAAAACTTTTGTTTATATAGCCGGGGTCTCTCTCTGTGTCACCCAGGCTGTAGTGCAGTGGCATGATCAGAGCTTACTGTAACCTTAAAATCCTAGCCCCAAGCAACCCTCTCACCTCAGTCTCCTAAAGTGCTGGTATTATAGGCATGAGCCACCATGCCAGCCTACAGGGAGAAAACACTTTCGAAGGCTAACTATGCTTTTGAAAATTTCAGGAAAACCACTTTTTATAAATTATATTCAAGCTTAAAGTGTATTTTTAATTAACTCTTTGTAAGTGATAATTTAACATAGCTAAAGCAGTTCTTTCATTGTGATTACAGATATAATTGATAGGTGCCAAAGGGGATAAGAGAGGATAATTATTTTTCTGATAGTTTGCTTTGTTTCTGATTCTTCTCTTTTGTTTGTTTAAATAGTGCTTGGTCCATCCTACTAGATCGCTCCCAAACTCGCCTACAGATAGTGTTGATCTCACCTGAATTATTTATCCCAGTAGAAGATGATGTTATGGAAAGGCAGAGACTCATTGAGTCAGTGCCTGACTCTGTGACACCACTAATTATCTATGAAGAAACAACAGACATCTGGATAAATGTATGCATTTTTTCCTGTACTTGTTTACATACTTTTTCAGAATGCTAAAGCAGATGAAGTTATATAGCAAACTATCAAAATGCATTTTTCTAATTTAAAGGGACCATGAATGTTACTTCTTTAGTAGGAATATTTCAAGGAGTGATGGTTCCAGAATGGAATGGTTTGTATTTGATAGAAAGGAGATGCCATTGAAATGGCATCTCCTTGGCTTCATATTTGTTCCTGGTGATATCAGATATTAAATACACAGCCTCATCAGTTCTTCTGAAAGGACCTCATGAATCTGGTCTAGAAAAGACTTTTTTTTTTTTTTTTTTTTTTTTTGAGATGGAGTTTCGCTCTTGTTACCCAGGCTGGAGTGCAATGGCGCGATCTCCGCTCACCGCAACCTCCGCCTCCTGGGTTCAGGCAGTTCTCCTGCCTCAGCCTCCTGAGTAGCTGGGATTACAGGCACGCGCCACCACGCCCAGCTAATTTTTTTGTATTTTTAGTAGAGATGGGGTTTCACCATGTTGACCAGGATGGTCTCGATCTCTCGACCTCGTGATCCACCCGCCTCGGCCTCCCAAAGTGCTGGGATTACAGGCTTGAGCCACCGCACCCGGCTAGAAAAGACTTTTATGTTAGCAAACTGTACCAAAATAAACCAATTTTTAATTGAATTTTTAATTTTCAAATTTAGCAGAAAAATTTAAATAAGATACAAAATAAATGAAGCCAGCTCACTTCCTAGCTGAATGTAAGCTTCATATGATTCACCTATGAACATCTGTTTTCCCTTGAACTATTAGAAAAATTCTCTTTGGAAAACAAAAGTAAAAAAAAAATTACCTTCATCATTCTTTAACAAGATTTATATTATTAAACAACCTTGCTCCATTACAGAGATGTTGAGTAAGGAAAATCTTTTGGTCATATTTTTCTTTTTTACTCCATTTGAAAACATTTATTTCTCAGTGGATGAAGTCTTTGACTAAAGTAAAATAAATCTGAAAATCCCAGGCAAAATTCATTACTGTAAATACAGCATTCCTGTGGCATTGATGGTTATTTATATTTTAAAGTATATTTATCAAGTAATTTTTTCTATAGCCCAGTTGAATTATGTAGTATTTTCATTAATGTGTATAGTAAATTTAGCCATTCATTTTGCAGATCCATGACATCTTTCATGTTTTTCCCCAAAGTCATGAAGAAGAAATTGAGTTTATTTTTGCCTCCGAATGCAAAACAGGTTTCCGTCATTTATACAAAATCACGTCTATTTTAAAGGAAAGCAAATATAAACGATCCAGTGGTGGGCTGCCTGCTCCAAGTAAGAAATCCTATTTTATTAAGAAAAAAAAAAAGAAAGAAAGAAAAAAATGTTGGGGGCAGAAGGTGGGAGGGACAGGGAATTTTCTTTTGTATACTTTGTAAGCGTCAGTGCTAGCTTCATTAAACTTAATATTTAAGTTAAACTAAAATAATACATGCATGTGTAAAAACACAGGACAAAGTTCTTAATGGATGGACACGTCTTGTAAACTATTAATAGTGAATAATCTCTAAGTAGTGGAATTACTTCTTCTTTTAAAATTTTTATTTTTATTTATTTTTTTTTGAGACGGAGTTTCACTCTTGTTACCCAGGCTGGAGCTCAATGGCACAATCTTGGCTCACTGCAACCTCCACCTCTTGGGTTCAGGCAATTCTCCTGCCTCAGCCTCCTGAGTAGCTGGGATTACAGGCATGTGCCACCATACCCAGCAAATTTTTTGTATTTTTAGTAGAGACGGGGTTTCACCATGTTGACCAGGATGGTCTCGATCTCTTGACCTCGTGATCCACCCACCTCGGCCTCCCAAAGTGCTGGGATTACAGGCTTGAGCTACCGCGTCTGGCTTAAATTTTTATTTTTTGAGATGGGGTTTCACCATGTTGATCAGGCTGGTCTCGAACTCCTGACCTCAGGTGATCCACCCTCCCCAGCCTCCCAGAGTGCTGGGATTACAGGCATAAGTCACTGTGCCTGGCCAAGTAGTGGAATTACTGATTTTTGCTTTCTACTTTTGCCTTGACTGCAATTTTTAATTAGTATTTTAATTTATTTAAAGTAAGCCCATTTTAAATAGCTATTTTTGTCTAGGTGTAGTGGCTCACACCTGACCAACATGGTGAAACCCCGTCTCTACTAAAAATACAAAAATGAACCGGGCATGGTGGTATGCACCTGCAGTCCCAGCTTACTCAGGAGGCTGAAACTGGAGAATTGCTTGAACTCAGGAGTCAGAGTTTGCAGTGAGCCGAGATCACACCACTCACTGCACTCCAGCCTGGTGACAGAATCTCAAAACAAAGAAAAAAACCCACTATTTAAAAAATGTTATGTAGTTACTAGATTTTTTTTTTGTTATTAGATATTTTTCCACACTAAGTGTTTCTTATACTGTGTGCATCTACCTTAATTTATAGTTTATAGGTCTTGGATTGATATAATTATGTTGCCCAAAGTAAAATTAAATATTATATGAGCTGAAGTTAATTTTTCTTTAAAAAGTGGTTTTCCTTAAGTGGAGGTTTTCCTTCTGGGAAATATAATATGGAATGGATGTGTAAGCCTAGAAAAAGTGAATGGGAGGCCAGGCGTGGTGGCTCAAGCCTGTAATCCCAGCACTTTGGGAGGCCGAGGTGGGTGGATCACGAGGTCAGGAGATCGAGACCATCCTAGTCAACATGGTGAAACCCCGTCTCTACTAAAAATACAAAAAAAAATTAGCTGGGCATGGTGGCACATGCCTGTAATCCCAGCTACTCAGGAGGCTGAGGCAGGAGAATTGCTTGAACCCAGGAGGCAGAGGTTGCGGTGAGCCGAGATCGCTCCATTGCACTCCAGCCTGGGTAACAAGAGTGAAACTCTGTCTCAAAAAAAAAAAAAAAAAAAAAAAGGCCGGGCTCGGTGGCTCAAACCTGTAATCCCAGCACTTTGGGAGGCCGAGGCGGGTGGATCACGAGGTCAAGAGATCGAGACCATCCTGGTCAACATGGTGAAACCCCATCTCTACTAAAAATACAAAAAACTAGCTGGGCGTGGTGGCGCATGCCTGTAATCCCAGCTTCTAAGGAGGCTGAGGCAGGAGAATTGCCTGAGCTCAGGAAGCAGAGGTTGCGGTGAGCCGAGATCACGCCATTGCACTCCAGCCTGGGTAACGAGAGCGAAACTCCGTCTCAAAAAAAAAAAAAAAAAAAGTGAATGGGTACATGGAACACTTTTCCCAAGATTTCCTAAAACTGAGTTGCAGTTCTCAACTTTAATTTTGGTTTGTTTTAGAATATGAATCACTTTGTGATAAATTATTTTGTATGCTTAATTGCCATTTGTAACTTAACAGACTCAGCATGGCCTTTTAAAAAATTATGGAAAAATATACTTAAGATTTAGCATTGGCCAGGCGCGGTGGCTCAAGCCTGTAATTCAGCACTTTGGGAGGCTGAGGCGCGTGGATCACGAGGTCGAGAGATCGAGACCATCCTGGTCAACATGGTGAAACCCCGTCTCTACTAAAAATACAAAAAACTAGCTGGGCGTGGTGGCGTGTGCCTGTAATCCCAGCTACTTAGGAGGCTGAGGCAGGAGAATTGCCTGAGCCCAGGAGGCGGAAGTTGCGGTGAGCCGAGATCGCGCCATTGCACTCCAGCCTGGGTAACAAGAGCGAAACTCCGTCTCAAAAAAAAAAAAAAAGATTTAGCACTGTGACCATTTTTCCATTTTTAAGGGTACATACAGTTTAGTGACATTGAATATGTTTGTTTATATATATAGATATCTATATACATATATATAGATATACATATAGATAGATAAAATTTTTTTTTTTCTGAGACAGAGTCTCACTCTGTCACCCAGGGTGGAGTGCAGTGGTGTGATCTCAGCTCACTGCAACCTCCACCTCTTAGCTTCAAGATTCTCCTACCTCAGCCTTCCGAGTAGCTGGAATTATGGGCATGTGCCACCATACCCAGCTGATTTTTGTATTTTTAGTAGAGATGGGGTTTCACTATGTTGGCTGGGCTGGTTTTGCACTCCTGGCCTCATGTGATCCATGAGCCTTGGCCTCTCAGAATGCTGGGATTACAGGTGTGAGCCACTGCACCTGGCTGAGTATGTTCATATTGTTGTGCAGTCGTTACCACCATCTGTCTCCAGAATTTTTTACGTCTTCCAAAACTGAAACTACCCATTAAACAGTCACTTTCTATTGCCTTCTCCCTCCAGCCTCTGGCAGTTACTTTCTGTCTCTGTGAATGTGACGACTCTTGACTTATTTAAGTGGAGTCATACAATTTTTGTCCTTTTTTGACTGACTTATTTCACTTCGCGTAATGTCCTCAAGGTTCATCTGTGTCATAGTGCGTGCCAGGATTTCCTTTCTTTTTAGGGCTGAGTAAGGTTTTGTTGTATGTATATACCACATTTTGTTTATCTGTTCATCTGTTGATGGGCACTCTGGGGTTGTTTCCACCTTTTGGCTCTTGTGAATAATGCTGCTATGGATGTGGGTGTACAAGTATCTGTTTCTGTCCCTGATTTCAATTCTTTTGGATATATACTCAAAAGTGGAATTTCTGGATCATATGGTACTTCTATTTTCAATTTTTCAGTTCGATTTCAATTTTTTTCAATTAGGTAGCAGTAGCTACTACCATTGGTGTTCCAATGGTGTAGTTCCTATGGATAACAGTACAGTCCATACTGTTACGGATCCACCATATGGATCTATGGTAATTCTGTTTTCAATTCTATTTCAATTTTTTTTCAATTAGGTAGCAGTAGCTACTACCATTGGTGTTCCAATGGTGTAGCTCCTATGGAAAACAAGCTACACCATTGGAACACCAATGGTAGTAGCTACTGCTACCTAATTTTACATTACCACTGAAGTGCACAGGGTTTTTAATTTTTGTTTTTTTTTTGAGACAGAGTCTCACTGTGTCATAAGGTGCCAGGCTGGCGTGCAGTGGTGCAATTTCAGCTCACTGCAACCTCCGCCTCCCGGGTTCAAGCAATTCTCCTGCCTCAGAATTGCTAATTTTTTGTATTTTTTAGTAGAGACCGGGTTTCACCATGTTGGCCTGGATGGTGTCGATCTCTTGACCTTGTGATCTGCCCGCCTCAGCTTCCCAAAGTGCTGGGATTACAGGTGTGAGCCACTGCGCCCGGCCTGATTTTCATTTTTTAAGCTGTTCCTTAGGCCACTGAGAGAACCTCATCAAGACAGAAGCTTATAAAAACAGATGGGTGCTGGGTGTGGTGGCTCAAGCCTATAATCCCAACATTTTGGGAGGGTCAGACAGGCAGATCATTTGAGTCCAGGAGTTTGAGACTAGCCTAGGCAACATGGCAAAACCCCGTCTCTACAAAAAAAGACAAAAAAAAAATTAACCAGGTATGATGGCATGAGCCTGCAGACCCAGCTACTTGGGAGGCTGAGGTGGGAGGATCATCTGCGCCTAAGGAGGTTAAGGCTGCAGTGAGCTGTGATCACATGCCACTGCAGTTTAGCCTGGGCGACAGAGCAGAACAGGAAAAAAGCAAAAAACAAATGGGACATGTTGACATTTGCTGTAGTAAACACTTATCTGGTTATTTTTTGACAAATGGAGAATAATTGTATTAAACATTTTCTTTTGTGGGTTTTAAAGTAGTTTGTTGAATTTCTAAAAGAAATGCCTTGCTGAAATAGCTGATATGGCTACCTCAGAAGTGCCAGGGAATCGAGCCAGTCCTAACCCAGTGCCTGGGGATGGATTGCACCGGGCTGGTTTTAATGCCTTTACGGCAGGTCATGTGATGATCTGTGTGCGAGTGAGAGGGACCCCAGCCCTGCAGCTTTGGACCCTGGCTCTCTGAATGCCACAATAAGGTATCTTTGTGTGGCAAAGCTGTGCCCCTCACAGTGGCCAAGAGTCAATTCTCCTGTTCCTCCAAATCCCACAGTCAGAAGATAAAGCTGGCTTGGGGCAACTGCTGACCCAACTTCCACCTAGCACTGTGGTGGAACAGAAGTATTTGGGTTTCTCTAGCCTGTAAATGTCATACTCTCAACTACTACTGAGTTTAGGGGAGGGGGAGTGTCCTGGCAGAAATATCACTGCATTGCCCTGGACCTCTTCCTTTACCCCAGTGTCTGAGGTACAAAGATACAAGCAAGAAGGCTGACCAACACCTTTAACACTGACTTTATTTTTAAAGCTGAAAATGTGTTGGGAAAGTTTTACCGAAAAAAATCAGCAGAAACAAGTTATGAAAAAAAAAAAAAAAAAAAGAAATGCTTTGTCAATCTACTTCTTTGTCTAACCAAAGGTTCAAGAATACAGGTGCTTTTGAGTTTTCTTATGGCTTTGCAGAAAAATCTCTTTTGCTGTTTCACATTATCAAAATGGATCATTCCATTATTATTCCAGAGTATTGTAAGGACTCATAACTTGGATTTTTTTTTAATGGTAGCCTTTTTTATTGAAATGAAATTCATAAAGCATTAAATTAACCATTTAAAAATAAACAATTCAGGCCCAGTGTAGTAGCTTATGCCTGTAATCCCAGCACTTTGACAGGCAAAGGTGGGAGGGCTTTAGGCCAGCAGTTCAAGACCAGTGTGGGTAATATAGTGAGACCTCATTGCTACCAAAAATAATAATTTGCCGGGTTTGGTGGCATCTAGTCCTAGCTACTCAGGAGACTGGGGTGGGAAGAAAGCTTTAGCCTAAGAGGTCAAGGCTGCAGTGAGCCGTGATCATGCCACTGCACTCCAGCCTCAGCAACAGAGCAAGACCCTGTCTACAAAAATAAAATAAAATAGCCGGGCGCGGTGGCTCAAGCCTGTAATCCCAGCTTTTGGGAGGCCGAGGCGGGTGGATCACGAGGTCAAGAGATCGAGACCATCCTGGTCAACATGGTGAAACCCCGTCTCTACTAAAGATGCAAAAAATTAGCTGGGCATGGTGGCGCTTGCCTGTAATCCCAGCTACTCAGGAGGCTGAGGCAGGAGAATTGCCTGAACCCAGGAGGCGGGAGGTTGCGGTGAGCCGAGATCGCGCCATTGCACTCCAGCCTGGGTAACAAGAGCGAAACTCCGTCTCAAAAAAAATAATAATAAAAATAAAATAAATAATGCAGTGGCGTTTAGTACATTTACAATGCTGTGCAACCACCGCCTCTGTCTAGTTCCAAAACATTTTTATTATCCCAAACATAACTTTTTGGAAAAAAAGAGCTTAGAGTACTGTTCTTAATTGTTTCATTTGCTTATAGTCTGGTATAATGTACTGACTGAATTATAATTATCTTTATCTTCAGGTGATTTCAAGTGTCCTATCAAAGAGGAGATAGCAATTACCAGTGGTGAATGGGAAGTTCTTGGCCGGCATGGATCTAATGTATGTTATTTTATTCTACTGATTTGTTTGGTCAGTATTGCTGTGTGAATACAGTGCTAAAAATGAGTAATGCAATTTAATATGACCCCAGTATTTTTTTTTTCCTTGAGACGGAGTCTTGCTCTGTTGCCCAGAGCTGGAGTGCCGTGGCACGATCTTGGCTCACTGCAACCTCCGCTTCCCGGGTTCAAGCTTTTCTCCTGCCCAAGCCTCCTGAGTAGCTGGGATTACAGGTGTGTGTCACCACGTCTGGTAATTGTTTTTTGTATTTTTAGTAGAGATAGAGTTTCATCACGTTGGCCAGGCTGGTCTTGAACTCCTGACCTCGTGATCCACCCACCTCAGGCTCCCAAAGGGCTGGGATTACAGGCGTGAGCCACTGCGCCCAGCCAACCCCAGTATTTTTTAAATACTAAGTTAGGGCCTAAAATTACTCAAGTTGTTGAAATAATCTTGTTTAAATTATAAATCTCATTTATTTTATAGCCCTGGTGTTAGGTGTGTTCACATTACTAAAGGTCATCATTTTCTTTTCTTTTTTGTGAGACAGGATTTTGCTCTGTCTCCCAGGCTGTAGTGCAGGGCAAAATCATCCCTCACTGGAGTCAACCCCCCAGGCTTAGACGATTCTCCCACTTCAGCCTCTGGAGTAGCTGGGACTACAGGTGTATATCGCCACGACAAGCTAATTTTTAAATTTTTGGTAGAGACAGGGTCTCATATATATTGATTGGGCTTGTCTCAAACTCGTAGACTCAAGGGATCCTCCCACGTTTGCACCTCCCAGAGTGATGAGATTATAGGCGTGAGCCACCCCATCCTCTTTTTCCTTCCCTTCCCTTCCCCCTCTCTTCTCTTTTCTTTTTTGAAACAGGGTCTGGCTTTGTCGCCTAGGCTGGAGTGCAGTGGCGCAATCTTGGCTCACTACATTTCCACCTCCTGGGGTCAAGCCATCCTCCTACCTCAGCCTCCCAAGTAGCTGAGACTACAGGCATAGACCACCACACCCAGCTAATTTTTGTATTTTTTGTAGACGGGGTTCTGCCATGTTCCTTAGGCTGGCTTCAAACTCCTGAGCTCAAGCAGTCTACCTGCCTTGGCCTCCCAAAGTGCTGAGAATATAGCTGTGAACCACCATGCCTGGCCAAGTCCATGATTTTAAAATATATTATTGCTCCTTGATGAGGAAGGGGCATATTCATAGTTTTAGAGCCTAGCATAAGTTGTGACTTAGGATATGGTTTGAAAAGTAACTTAAAACGTATTATAGACTATTTGTATTGTGTCTACATTATAAATTGCATTTACTGCCTGGGCGCAGTGGCTCACACCTGTAATCCAGCCCTTTGGGAGATGAAGGCTGGTGGATTGCTTGAGGCCAAGAGTTCAGTAACAGTTTGGGCAACATATTAGATCCTGTCTCTGCCAAAAATAAAGAAAAATTAGCTGGGTATGGCGATGCACACCTGTAGTCCCAGCTAGTTTGGAGGCTGAGGCAGGATAATCACTTGAGTGCGGGAAGTCCAGGCTGCAGATGAATTATGATCACATCAGTGCACAACAGCCTGGCTGAAAGAGTGAGACTCTGTCTCAAAAAAAAATAAAATAAAAGAAATTGCATTTACTTCTTCTGAGGTAGTGACTGTCTTTCATTCATCTGTTTATCTTACCCTACAAATTTAAACTGTAATCCACCACCTGCAAAGAGTGATGGGCATTTATACAGAGCTTAGATTGATAGGGAAGAGGAAGGAAGTCTACCATCTGTTTTATTCTCAGTACAAATTCAGTGAATTCTTTAAAGAAAAAAAAATTGCCTTTTTGAAGTATCTTGCATTGTTTCCGCTGTCACTTGAATGATCATATTCATGAGATCCCTAGAAACTCCATCCTGTATGTGTGTGACATACAGCTGAGATATACTGCCAGGATTTAGTGAAGGTCTAACTAAATGTGGTTTCCTCAAACTGACAGGAAGATTTATTGAAGAATTATGTTTACTGTCTACTGTAAAAATCTCTGTAGTCTCTGTAGTGAATAAGAAGACATAAGATCCAGATCCTAAGTTTGTTTTTGTTAGTAAAAACTTAAGAGTATCAGCTGGTCATAGTAAAGTAAAAACTTTAGAGTATCAGCTTCATCTCCCAAAGGGATGGATTACAGGTGTGATACTTCAGAGTATCACACTTGTAGCCCTAACATTTTGGGAGGCTGATGTAGGAGGATCACTTGCTCCCAGGAATTTGATGCCAGCCTGGACAACATAGTGAGACCCTGTCTCTGCAAACAAATTTAAAACTTAGGGAGGCATGGTGGTGCATACCTGTAATTGCAGCACTTTGGGAGGCCAAGGCAAGAGGATTGCTTTAGCCCAGGAGTTTGATTGCTTTAGCCCAGGAGTTTATCAGCCAGGGTAACACAGGGAGACTCTATCTCTACAAAAAAAAAAAAAACAAAACAAAATTTAGCTGGGTGTGGTGGTGGTTGCCTGTAGTCCCAGTAACTAAGAAGGCTGAGGTGGGAGGATTGCTTTAGCCAGGGAAGTTGAGGCTACATTGAGCTGTGATCATAATACTGTACTATAGCCTGGGTGACAAGAGTGATACCCACCTCAAAACAACAACAAAAACCTTAGGGTATCAAGATTTACCGTTAAAGTCTACTTTCCACTGAGATTCTCATATGGCCTTCTTGTTACATATCCAAATGTTTTTATTGTTTGTTTTATTTTTGTTTCCAAATTTTTTTCTGTGGAAGGACCTTGGATGTTACTGTCACCTGAGAAAAAAATCTTATTGTGGAATTCTAGGTTCTAAATTACATTGATGTAAATTTCTTGCTGTGTGATGGTTGAAGGACAGGAGTCATTACATCATGCTGAGAGAAACCCAATAATTGTAACTGTATACATCTGATTCTTATTTGAGCCACCTAAACATCCACTTGCCACTATGTTTATCAGTTTTCTTTCATATTAGGTTTAGTCTGTCTTTGTCTCTTCCTCTCTTTTCCCTCTGTTCTTTTTTTTTTTTTTTTTTTTTTTGAGATGGAGTCTCACTCTGTTGCCCAAGCTGGAGTGCAGTGGCATCTTCATGGCTCACTGTAACCCCCATCTCCTGGGTTTAAGCAATTCTTCTGCCTCAGCCTCCTGAATAGCTGGGATTACAGACATGCGCCACCATGCCTGGCTAATTTTTATATTTTTAGTAGAGACAGGGTTTCGCCATGTTGGCCAGGATGGTCTCAAACTCCTAACGTCAGGTGATTCCCCTGCCTTGGCCTCCCAAAGTGCTAGGATTATAGACATGAGCTACTGCACGTGGCCTTTCCCTCTGGTCATGACTTGTTTTTGCCTTAAGTTACCTTTGTTTCTTCTCTACTTTTACAAGTGACTTTGTTCCCACCTAAAGATTATTATTATTATTATTATTATTTTGGAGACGAAGTCTTGTTCTGTTGCCCAGGCTGGAGTGCAATGGCGAGATCTCAGCTCACTGCAACCCATCTCCTAGTTTCAAATGATTGTCCTGCTTCAGTCTCCCAAGTCCCTGGGATTACAGGCGCCCACCATCCTGCCCAGCTAATTTTTACATTTTTAGCAAAGATGGGGTTTTTGTCATGTTGGCCAAGCTGGTCTTAAACTCCTGATCTCAGGCAATCCTCTTGCCTTGGCCTCCCAAAGTGCTGGGATTACAGCTGTGAGCCACTGTGCCTGGCCACCCACCCAGAGATTTCTAGTGGCAGTAATTTAGTAAAGCTTTAAGACTTTTAAGCCTATGAGCTTCTTTTTTTTTATTTTTTTGAGGTGGAGTCTTGCTCTGTTACCCAGGCTGAAGTGCAATGATGCTATCTTGGCCCACTGCAACCTCTGCCTCCCAGATTCAAGTGATTCTCGTGCCTCAGCCTCCTGGGTAGCTGGGATTACAGGTACCCGCCACCACACCCAGCTAATTTTTGTATTTTTAGTAGATGCAGGGTTTTACCATGTTAACTAGGCTGATCTCAAACTCTTGACCTCAAGTAATCTGCCTACCTCCACCTCCCAACTTGTTGTGGTTATAGGCATAAGCCACCATGACTAGCTGCCTACGAGCTTCTTATTGTTGAGGGTGGGTCTCAAAGTGCTGGACTAGCGTCAGCATCACCTGGGAACTTGTTAGAAATGCACATTCTTGGGCCCACCCCGGACATCCTGAATCATAAATTCTGGTGGTGGGGCTTAGTAATCTGTTGAACAAGACCCCCACGAGATTATGATATTGCCATTGGATGTTAAGTAGTTACAGGAAACAAGAGAACCATTGTAGATGGTGGTGAGAAATTGACTGGTTGTGTTTTTAGTTTTGAAAGGCCTGACTCCTATCTGCTAGGTCAAGAACAGAATCAGTCCTGATCTTTTGCAGAGGTTAACACATACTTGTGAAGTTTCATGAATATTTGTTTCCTGTCATTTGTATGCTTTCTGTATATGTCATATGGGCCTACTTAATCCCAACTGTGTTGATTTCTGTTTATGCATGCTAAAAAAAAAAATGTTTAGTTTTAGAGAAGCAGCTTCCTGGGGGAAAAAAGACATTTAAAAATAACTTACTTTTAGAAATACATCTATGTTTTCATTGTTATGTAAAAAAATTTGATTTTTTTTTTTTTTTTGAGAAAAGGGTCTTGCTCTATTGCCCAGGCTGGAGTGCATCGGCACAATCATGGTTTGATGCAGCTTCAAATTCTGGCCTCAAGTGATCCTTCCACTTCAGCTTTCCAAGTTGCTGGGACTACAGGGATGTGTCACCATGCCCAGCTAATTTTTTCATTTTGAGTAGAGATGGGGGTCTCTCTGTGTTACCCAGGCTGGTCTCAAACTCCTAAGCTCAAATGATCCTCTAACTTTGGCCTCCCAAAGTGCTGGGATTGCAGGTGTGAGCCGCCACATCTGGCCAAAAATTTTCTTAAACATTGTTTGAGTTGGCTGGTAGAAGATTTATAGGAACAATGAAAGAAAGCCGTTTATTTGAAATCTTACTGTAATTTGGGAAGAATATTATGTGAATTCAGCTATGAGTTTACTTGCAGTTTTTTCAGGTTCTGAATGAAGACTTAAAAGATCTTGTCCATGTTTATTTATAAACTATACCAGTATTGAAACTGTGATTTAGTTCAGTTATTCTACAACCCAATAGATAAAACATCTTTGCAAATTTGTACAAAAGACCAAAAAAGTACTGCCTAAGATAACACTAATAAATATATAAGATAATAAAATTAGTCTTTCAAGTATGTATGAATGATTGACCTAAGCTGCAATATAGCATAGTTTTTTTTCCCCCTGTAAAGAGTTGTTATTTTAAGGAAATAATTCTTGTATTTTAAGAAAAATATGCATTCTGACCAGATGGGAAACTATACAGTGTGTAACTCAGGTATCCTTTTTTCTTCAGGGCAGGACCTGTTCTTAGCTATAAGTCATAAACAGCTAGGCATGGTGGCTCATGTCTGTAATCCCAACACCTTGGGAGGCTGAGGTGGGAGGATTGCTTGAGGCCATGGATTTAAAACAAGCTTGGGCAACATAATGAGGCCCCATGTCTTTAAAAAAAATTTAGACACTTAGCTGGGCATGGTGGTGTGTGCTTGTAGCTACTCAGGAGGCTGGGGTGAGAGGATAGCTTCAGCCCAGGATTTTGAGGCTGCGATGAGCCATGATTGCATCATTGCATTCGAGCCTGGGTAGCAGAGGTGAGACCTCAAATAAATAAGCAACTCAACTCTTAAATAAACAAATAAGCAAGATTAACTCAGGTTTATTAATAGTGGCAGCAAAAAGAAAAGAAAAGAAGTCACAAGTCCAAGAGTGACTCAAGTGATTCTAAATAAAATTGGGGTTGGCTTTGCCAAGGTCATGTTAGCACTGATTTTGTTATTGTTATTATCTTGTCAGATCCAAGTTGATGAAGTCAGAAAGCTGGTATATTTTGAAGGCACCAAAGACTCCCCTTTAGAGCATCACCTGTATGTCGTCAGTTACGTAAATCCTGGAGAGGTGACAAGGCTGACTGACCGTGGCTATTCCCATTCTTGCTGCATCAGTCAGGTATTAAGTCTGTTTAAAAAGGGTTTTGTGTCATGTTAAAACTCTCTGCTTATATAATACTCCTTTTGAATGATGTGAAATTAACCTGCAGAAGCCTAATTCTCTAAGGAAAAGCTTTAAAAAGCTTAGCTTTAACTTTAACATTGTACATGTACATAAATAGTCTAACACTTATAGTACTCTTGCTATAGCATTAGTGCAGATGTAAGAGTAGATAACCTTTCCTACCTCCCTGAGGAAAAATATAATTGTTTCTCCTTTCTCTAGCATTGTGACTTCTTTATAAGTAAGTATAGTAACCAGAAGAATCCACACTGTGTGTCCCTTTACAAGCTATCAAGTCCTGAAGATGACCCAACTGGCAAAACAAAGGAATTTTGGGCCACCATTCTGGATTCAGCAGGTATTCTTTTTTCTCTTGATCCTGACGTTAAGTAGGATTAATATGATAGTATACTAAACTTGTGTCATATTTTCACATTTCCTGGACAAGTCTTTCCATCTCTCACCACTACCTGTCCCTGAGCTGCTGGGCTCCTGATTGATCCCACTTTTCCTGTTATATTAACTACTAAGATGGGTTACTTCTCACTCCAAGCTGAAGCAGCAAGTCTGGAAGGCCTTTTTGAAGTTAGGGCCAGGGACAGTGGCTCACGCCTAAAATCCCAACACTTTGGGAGACTGAGGCAGGTGGATTGATTAAAGTCAGGAGTTCGAGATCAGCCTGACCAACATGGCAAAACCCCGTCTCTACTAAAAATACTGAAATTAGCTGGGTGTAGTGTTATATGCCTGTTGTCCCAGCTACTTGAGAGACTGAATCACGAGAATCGCTTTAACTCAGGAATCAGAGGTTGCAGTAAGTTAAGATCATACCCCTGAACTGCAGCCTGCGTAACAGAGCAAGACCTTGTCTCAAAAAAAAAAAAAAAAACAAAAGAAGATTAAAATAGTAAAGTATCACCTAGGAAACAATTTGTTTACATATTTTGATGACTTCTCAGGTAAACAAATGAACTTGAAAGTAATGTATTCTGATCTAGTAAGACCCTTTGAGCTGGGAAGCTGCGGCTTTGGAGAATAACCAGCTGATATATTTATTTATTTGTTTATTTGTTTGAGTTGGAGTTTTGCTCTTCTTGCCCAGGCTGTAGTGCGGTGGGCTGATCTCGGCTCACTGCAACCTCTGCCTACCAGGTTCAAGCAATTCTCCAGCCTCAGCCTCCTGAGTAGCTGGGATTATAGGTATGTGCCACCACACCTGGCTAATTTTGTATTTTCAGTAGAGACAGGGTTCCTCCACATTGGTCAAGCTGGTCTCGAACTTTCAGTCTCAGGTGATCCGCCTGCCTCATCCTCCCAAAATGCTGGGATTACAGGCATGAGCCACTGCGCTCAGCTTTTTTTTTTTTTTAATTATTTAAGTTCTCTGGTACATGTGCAGAACTTACAGGTTTGCTTCATAGGTATACACGTGCCCTGGTGATTTGCTGCACCAATCAACCTGTCATCTACATTAGGTATTTCTCCTGGTGCTATACTTCCCCTAACCCCCTTCCTTGAGACAGGCCCCGATGTCTGATGTTCCCTTCCTGTCCATGTGTTCTCATTGTTCACCTCCCACTTATGAGTGAGAACATGCGGTGTTTGGTTTTCTGTTCTTGTGTTAGTTTGCTGAGAATGATGATATTTGGAAAACTGGCTAGCCATATGCAGAAAGCTGAAACTGGATCCCTTCCTTACACCTTATACAAAAATTAACTCAAGATGGATTAAAGACTTAAACAAGTAAGACCTAAAACCATAAAAACCCTAGAAGAAAACCTAGGAAATACCATTCAGAACATAGGCATGGGCAAAGACTTCATGACTAAAACACCAAAAGCAATAGCAACAAAAGCTGATAGCTTTCTTAAACTTTTGAAGCACTTATAATGGCCATCTTAATAAAAAAAACACTTGCTGTCTCTGAAATGAGAGAAACATTGTGAATTATCTGAGAATGGATTAGTTTTATGTATCTTGTTCACTTTAATCCCCAGTCTTTTTTTCCAGTATTTTCACTAATTAATTATTTCTGCTAAAGGATCATGAAATTAGGCCAGGCGTAGTGGCTTATGTCTGTAATCCCAGCACTTTGGTAGGCCGAGGTGGGTGGATCATTTGAAGTCAGGAGTTCAATACCAGTCTGGCCAAAACACGGTGAAACCCCACCTCTACTAACAAAAATTAGCTTGACGTGGTGGTGGGCACCTGTAGTCCCAGCTACTCGGGAGGTTGAGGCAGGAGAATCGCTTGAACCTGGGAGGCAGAGGTTTCGGTGAGCTGAGATTGCATTAATGTACTCCAGCCTGGGCAACAGAGAGAGACTCTGTCTCAAAAAAAAAAAAAAGAAAGAAAAATTAGTACAAAACCAAAGAATATAATGTGTTATAATGTCCACAAGCGGAATCAGAATTTGTAATATGGTGATGATCTCTGCTTAGGCTGTAAATTATCCACCGTACATAGACACTTAGGAGAGATCTGTATAGCTTTGGCGAACCAAAACTGAAGAAGACTTTTTTCTGAGTTCTGATTAGGCTTATTCTAATGATCAGAGGCAAATGTTATTCCTCACCTACCATGAAAAAATTAAATTGACTTATAATTTCCCTCACCTGCCACCCAGCTTTATTCAGTTATATACCTGTTTCTTTTTTTTTTTTTTGAGATGGAGTTTCGCTCTTGTTACCCAGGCTGGAGTGCAATGGCGTGATCTCGGCTCATCGCAACCTCCGCCTCCTGGGTTCAGGCAATTCTCCTGCCTCAGCCTCCTGAGTAGCTGGAATTACAGGCATGTGCCACCATGCCCAGCTAATTTTTTGTATTTTTAGTAGAGACGGGGTTTCACCATGTTGACCAGGATGGTCTCGATCTCTTGACTTCGTGATCCACCTGCCTCGGCCTCCCAAAGTGCTGGGATTACAGGCTTGAGCCACCGCACCTGGCCTATATACCTGTTTCTAACCAGATATATGATTTAATCATCAATAAGTTATATTGGGCATAAAGTATTTGTATAGTTCTGCACATAGATATTTCCTAGGCTCCAAGGATATTTTTCAGAACACTCTGTGTCTGCTTCTGAAATAATTTGTCATGTTTGTTTTGTTGTTTGTTTGTTTTGTGTGGATTTCTGTTGTTGTTGTCAAGACAGTGTCTCACTCCATTTCCCAGGCTGGAGTGCAGTGGCACAGTCACAGCTCACTGTAGCCTCAACCTCCTGGGCTCAATCAGTCCTCCTGCCTCAGCCTCCTTAGTAGCTGGGACTACAGGAGCACACCTCCATGCCTGAGTAATTTCTGTATTTTTTTTTTTTTTTGTAGAGACAGGATTTTGCCATGTCGCCCAGGCTGGTCACAAACTCTTGAGCTCAAGTAATCTACCCACCTCAGCCTCCCAAAGTGCTAGGACTGCAGATGTGAGCCACCATGCCTGGCCTAGTTTTGTTTTTAAAGATTAATACTCTTGTTTAATTTCTAGTTTATCATCTGAAAGAGGGGTGGTCAGTTTGTGTTGTAGGGTCTTTTAATATCTTCTTTCTTGTTCTCAGATTTTAGCACCCCCATAAGAACTCCTTTTGTAGACTCTAGTATGTTACCTATTCACAGGTCCTCTTCCTGACTATACCCCTCCAGAAATTTTCTCTTTTGAAAGTACTACTGGATTTACATTGTATGGAATGCTGTACAAGCCTCACGATCTACAGCCTGGAAAGAAATACCCAACTGTGTTGTTCATATATGGTGGTCCTCAGGTGGGCGCATATTTATTTACATGTATACATACACTTATATGCATATGTATTTTAGATTATTTGTTTTTTAAATGTCTAGTCAGTTGTTTAGATTAAAATTTGAGCACTGTTGGCCATTCACTCTTTTTGACTCTGGCTTGTATTCTAATTATGCAGTTTAGGGGGTCAGGAAACTGGTTTTTGTTAGATGGCTAATTTATAAATCACTAAGTCAATTCCTTTTTTTTTTTTCCTTCTTTTTTTTGAGATGGAGTTTTGCTCTTGTTGCCCAGGCTGGAGTGCAATGGTGCAATCTCAGCTCACTGCAACCTCTGCCTCCCAGGTTCAAGTGATTCTTCTGCCTCAGCCTCCCAAGTAGCTGAGATTACAGGCATGTGCCACCATGCCCAGCTAATTTTTCATTTTTATTTTTAGTAGAGATGGGATTTCACCATGTTAGTCAGGCTGGTCTCGAACTCCTGACTTCAAATGATCCACCCACCTCGGCCTCCCAAAGTGTTGGGATTACAGGCATCAGCCACTGCCCCCGGCCACTAAGTCAATTCCTTTATTTGCAGTGTGGACTATAACTCCATGAGGAGTGGGATATTCATTTTAGTAGGTAAATATGTTGCTTTCTATGTGGAGAAACTTGTTTGGGAAATAAAATGAAATCATTAAACATCTTGGTAGATAAAAAGTCTCTTTTTTTTTGAGATGGAGTTCTCTCTTGTTACCCAGGCTGGAATGCAGTGGCACGATCTCGGCTCACCACAACCTCCGCCTCCTGGGTTCAGGCAATTCTCCTGCCTCAACCTCCTGAGTAGCTGGGATTACAGGCATGCGCCACCATGCCCAGCTAATGTTTTGTATTTTTAGTAGAGACGGGTTTCACCATGTTGACCAGGATGGTCTCGATCTCTTGACCTGTGATCCACCCGCCTCGGCCTCCCAAAGTGCTGGGATTACAGGCTTGAGCCACCGCACCCGGCCAATAAAAAGAGTCTTAACAGGTATTTTCAGAAAGCCTTGGTAGCCCAGTGAATTTTCCATCTTTATTCTAAAGCTGTGTCTCTCAAGCAAATTAAAATATTTTTATTAGATAGTTAAGGCAACTGCTATACTCCTATTTAGCACTGTAAGAACTTTACACCTTGATTTTCCTTATTCTGGATTAAGTATTAGCTAGTGACTGTTAAGTAAAATGCTTTGACTACTGGAGTAAAATATGTTAGATGGGTGTATTGGTTAATTGCTAAATTTTACAGTTGTTTATTCTTGATTATATATCCTACATTGAGCCTTAGAAGAAATTAAAATGTAATTACATTGTTTTTATAATGCAATCCTTAGACTAGGTAATACCCTTTATAATTAATAATTATACCCACATATTTAGTACCTGGAAACATATCTACATACCAAATTGTACAAAAAAATAAGAGTAAAATGGCTAGGCATGGTGGCTCATGCCTGTAATTCCAGCACTTTGAAAGGCTGAGGCGGGTGGATCTCAAGGTCAGGAGATCAAGACCATCCTGACCAACATGGTGAAACCCCATCTCTACTAAAATACAAAAAAATAGCCAGGTATGGTGGTGCATGCCTGTAGTCCCAGCTACTTGGGAGACTGAGACAGGGGAATCTCTTGAACCTGGGAGACGGAGGTTGCAGTGAGCCAGGATTGTGCCACTGCACTCCAGCCTGGATAACAGAAAAAGACCCTGTCTCAAAAAAAGATTTAAAGGACTCCTTATATTAGTAATGAAGTTAATAGAGGCTTAGCCACATAAAAAGATCCTCAAGATGACTAATCATTGGGGAAATGCAAGTCAACGCTACAGTGAGATACCAGTTTACACCCCTTAGATTGGCTCTTATCAAACAGAGGAAAATATTAAGTGCTATGCAAGATGTAGACAAGTTGGAACCCTGCCTGGTTCATTGCTGTGAGAATGTAAAATGTTATAGCTGCTGTGGAAAAGAATATGGAAGTTCCTCAAAATGTCAAACATAGAATTACCATATGAGCCAGAAATTTCACTTTTGGATATATACCCAGAAGAATTGAAAATAGGGACAGGAACAGATACTTACACAACTATAGCCATAGCAGCATTATTCACAATTGCCAAAAGGTGGAAGCTACCCAAGTGTCCATCAACAGATAACTAGATAAACAAAATGTGGTCTGTCCTTAAAAAGGAAAGTCTGACACATACTATAACACTGATGAACCTTGAGGACATTATGCTAAGTGAAGTAATTATGCTGTACACAAAAGGACAAATATTATTCGACTTGTATGAGGTACCTATAATAGGCGAATTATAGGGATGGAAAATAGAATAAAAGTTGTCAGTTGAATGGAAGAAGGATGGGGAGTGTTTGAGTGTTTGTTTATTTGTTTTTGAGATAGTCTCACTCTGTCATCCAGGCTATAGTGCAGTGGGATGATCTCAGCTCACTGCAACCTCCACCTCCTGGCTTCCAGCAATTCTGGGTTCTAGCAAGGCTGAGGGCCTCCCGAGTAGCTGGAATTACAGGCATATACCACCAAGCCTATAATCCTAACACTTTAGGAGGCTGAGGTGAGTGGCTCGCCTGATTTTTTTAATTTTTAGTAGAGATGGAGTTTCACCAGGTTGGCCAGGCTGGTCTTGAACTCCTGGCTTTGGGTGATCCACCTGCCTCAGCCTCCCAGAGTTGTGGGATTATAGGTGTGAGCCACCTCACCCGGCCGGGAGTTATTAATGGGCACAGAATTTCTGTTCGAGTGATGAAAAAGTTCTGGAAATGGGTAATGGTGATGATTACACAACAGTATGAGTATATTTAGTGTCACTGAATTGTATGCTTAAAGTGGTTAAAATGGTAAATTTTATGTGTATTTTACCATAATTTAAAAAATCTTAGCCAATTCAATTAAAACAAATTTTCTTTTCTTTTTCTTTTTTTTGTTTTGAGACAGTCTCACCCTGTTGCCCAGGCTGGAGTGCAGTGACGTGATCTTGGCTTACTGCCACCTCTACCTCCCAGGTTCAAGCACTTCTCCTGCTTCAGTCTCCTGAGTAGCTGGGACTACAGTTGTGCACCACTACACCTGACTAATTTATATATATATATATATATATATATATATTTTTTTTTTTTTTTTTTTTTTTTTGAGACGGAATTTTGCTCTTGTTACCCAGGCTGGAGTGCAATGGCGCGATCTCGGCTCACCGCAACCTCCGCCTCCTGGGTTCAGGCAATTCTCCTGCCTCAGCCTCCTGAGTAGCTGGGATTACAGGCATGCGCCACCATGCCCAGCTGATTTTTTGTATTTTTAGTAGAGATGGGGTTCACCATGTTGACCAGGATGGTCTCGATCTCTTGACCTCGTGATCCACCTGCCTCGACCTCCCAAAATGCTGGGATTACAGGCTTGAGCCACCGTGCCCGGCTTAATTTTTATATTTTTAGTAGAGATAGGCTTTCACCATGTTGACCAGGATGGTCTTGAACTCCTGACCTCAGGTGATCCACCCACCTGTGCCTCCCAATGTGCTGGGATTACAGGCGTGAGTCACTGTGCCTGCCCTAAACATAATTAATTATTTAGAATACTTCATGAATGCAGCTATACTTTTTGCACTTACAGAACAATCGTATTTGAAAGGCTATGAGTGAATTTCACTATGTGGTTTTTGAAAAACTATGGATCTCACGCCTGTAATCCCAGCACTTTGGGAGGCCAGGGCAGGTGAATCACAGGGTCAGGAGTTCGAGACCAGCCTGGACAACATGGTGAAATCCTGTCTGTACTAGAAATACAAAAATTAGCTGGGCGTGGTGGTGTCTGCCTATAATTCCAGCTACTCCGGAGGCTGAGGCAGGAGAATCACTTGAACCTGGGTGGCAGAGGTTGCAGTGAGCTGAGATTGTGCCACTGTACTCTAGCCTGGGCATCACAGCCAGACTCCATCTCAAAAAAAAAAAAAAAAAAAAAAAAAAAAGCTATAGGTGACTTAGGATGATTTCTTTCTTCCTTTCTCAAAAATGTTCTTTGGAAAAATTCAAATTTGGTGAGGCCAGAGAAGAATCTGGGCTGGGTGCATTGACATATGCCTATAATCCCAGCACTTTGGGAGGCTGAAACAGAAGGATCACTTTAGCCCAGGAGTTCAAGACCAGCATGGCGACATAGGGAGACCCCATCTCTACAAAAAATAAAAAAATAAGCTGCGCATGATGGTGGGCACCTGTGGTCCGTCACAGCTACTTGGGAGGCTGAGACAGGAGAATTGCTTGAGCCAGGGAGTTTGAAGCTGCAGTGAGCCATGATCACACCACTGCACTCCAGCCTGGACAAGAGAGTGAAACCTTGTGTCAAAAAAGAAAAAACAGAAGGATCTGGGTGGGTATGGTGGCTCATGTTTATAATCCCAGCCCTTTGGAAGGTCTAGATGGGAGGATTACTTGAGCTTAGGAGTTTGAGAACAGCCTGGGCAACATAGCAAGGCTCGAATCTTTTTTTTTTTTTTTCTTTTTAAAGGTTAAAAAAATGCATCTGTTACTGAGTTTGCAGGGAGATTTTCCCATGAGGCTTCACATGATATAGTGCCTCTGTCCCTTCAGTCTCTTGAAAGATCATTCATCTTCTTGCTTGATGACTTCATTCGGGTTAATTATGAAGAGACTCCTTAATGTAGGACCAGGTCTTTTTAATAGCACACAATAACATTGTGAAATTTGTTTAAATCTTGTAAGAGTATGATGTTCGCGTGGTCCGAACTGTTCTTTCTTGGTGTGTATTCACATCTAAATGGAAATCTGTTGAAACAGCAGCAGTGTCACAATTCGTAATGTGAAGTGAATTAGTTTGTCACTGAAGACAGCAATTTCTATAGGTCAGAAAAGAGTGAAACACAAGAAAAGCAACAGATATTTCCCACTAAAGGTATCAAGGATCAGTACTGTAAACTCTCCATTATTAACAGCTATGTTTCTAAACGTTAGTATCTAACAAGGCTGGGTGA